GCAACAGGAAATGGGCAGCAGCAGTATTCGGTTAAATACTGAAAATAAGCGTTGTAACTATGAGAGAATCCACAATATTTGGGTGAAACATCATATATTTCAATCTGTGATTATTATGTCATGTTATTTTACATCCATATTCCTGTATAAAATGGTCTAATAAATCAGAGTAATTTTTATACGCAACCAAAGCATAAAAAGGTCAACAACGCAATATGAATGGCAATTATTGTATCAAGTCTGATAGCCTTGCTAAAATCAACTAACACACTAACGCACTACACCAAAGACTCGCGAGCGGCCAACACCTAACACCTATCTGATAAGAGGCCTGATAAAGCGATACCTAGCTGGTTAGCTGACTCACATCGCTGACTACTCGTGCATAGTACGGAACTTTGTTCAATTTACTGAAGCTTATATATTGTGAGTGTTAGTTATTATTTTCTGAACATTTTACCCGGAGTGCAAGGTGCAACCACGTATGTAAATTTCATCTATACTAATAAACAATATTATATTTATCACACAAATATTATTATAACAATATGTTATATTTACTCTACTGAAATTGCAATCAGGTCAAATTTCAGTAGCTATGATTTAAAGTATTTAAATTGCAAACAAAGCAATAAACGAGTATGTATTTTAATTATAATAAAGGTTAAGGTAATGATATTGAATATATAATAATTATCACCTTTATCATCTCAATTTTAATAATAATTAAAACTGTAGACATAGTTAAAAATACCTTTTAACAAATCTACATTGCGCCATTCTGCGATAGGTATTGCTGTTTTATCGTGCAGAGTATAAAAGAGAACGGTTATCATTTTGAACAGTTCGTAATATACACTATATTTATTATTTTTTATATTTATTATTACATTATATTTGTATGTTCAATATCGGATTGGATAGTCAAATATAAGCAGTAATAATAAATGAGTGAGTGAAAATCCAATTAACCAGTAAAATTTATTAATTATTGTTCAATAATTAATTTTGCGCGAGAGGAGTACCTCCTAAATTTTAAAGAAAGTCTTCTTTTTACGGTAAGAGTGAATAGGCTTTTGTTAAGCTAAGTCAGTATGTTTTTCTATCTTTGGCAGCGTCACTACTTACCTTCAAGTGTAATATTAGAGAAGCACTGTCCTATGATGGTTAAAATAGCAGTAGTTACTCTAGGAACATTAGAATAAGAACTTTTTAAAATCCTTTGTACAGTAAAAATTATGATGGGCCAGAAACATTATACGTCAGTAGACGTACTATTTATCGAATTCCCAATTACTGATTTTGCCACTATAATACTTATTGTACATACATAGTTGTGTATTTTAATGTTACTTCCGAAACATCTTTAAAAATTCTTATTATTAGGAAGGTAAAGCAACATTTTGGATATCTTTATCACATGTATTCTAAAAAATCTATAAAATTTTTAAGTTTAAATTTAAAGTCCTTTCTTAGTTCTAAGCAAAGTTTAAAGCAGCGATTATCTAGGTATATTACGCGCACTATTTATCTTTAAACTTAATCAAAAGGTTGCGCTGCTCGTAGAAGTCTCAAGGGGATTCGATTTAAGAATATAAGTCGCTTGTAGCGGTCTTTCAAAGAACTGGAAAATTTATAATGAAAAGTCATTATTGTACTTACAGTAAATTACGTCATACGCTTGCTAGAATGCCATGTTGCCATTACAATTAGCAATAAACATACCAATAGCATTTCTATAATCTTCGCATCAAAGCATGCTGTGTGTTTGCTTTCGGTTATAAATCTAAATGTCACTATAAGTTGAATTATTATTTTAACATTTATAGGACGTCATAGTATATCGATAGATGTCAAGTCAGTAGATTGTGTGACCCCTCACTATACAAACGGATTCGTCTGTTGTTCAAACACTCGCTGATGAAATGATGGCGCTTTTACATATAAACACTCACGCCTATTACCCAGAGGGATAGTCAGAGACTACGAACTTCTATTTGACACAATCATGACATTGATTCGATTGACGATTCAAACTCTCCTCACTCATAAACACGGTTTCAAAGTATTTCTTCCATCTTTGATGCTTTTAATCGTTATCATTTTGCCAAAAGTCATATTATACAAATAAGTATACACGACCTCCTGCTGCTGATATCAATTGAAAGGTGATATCGTATTTTCTAAGAAGTTAACTTTTTTTATAGGATAGAGTGATAAACGAGCACACAGTCCACCTGATGGTAAGTAGTTGCTGTGACCCATAGACATCTACATCTATCCTCTATAAAGAATCAAAATGCAGATGCGTTGTCACCCGAGATTTTATTTTATAGGATAGGGTGACATACGAGCACACAGTCCACCTGATGGTAAGTGGTTGCTGTGGCCCATAGACATCTACATTTATCCTCGTTTGCGAATCAAAATATAGATGCGTTGTCACCCGTGAGGACTAGGATGGAATGCCTCATTTCCAATAAAAAGGGCCTCCGGCCACCTGCACTCACCAAGCGAAATGCAGAGGTAAACCTCTACTTCACGCTGGTATTCTGTGAGGTCGTGGTACCACCCCGGTTCGAGCCGGCCCATCCGTGCGACAGCAAAAGCTGCCGCCTGGCTGTACCACTGTTAAGAGATGGAATGCTTCTTATCAAGTAACCTGAAGTTATAGCTTTAAATTATCGTCCTAATTCTACGATCGGACTACAATAGTAAATTGAACGTCGTTCGAATCGTCAGTTAGGTTTCATCAGAGAATAAATAATAGTACAAGAACAGAAAGATCACTCTCTGATAGCAAACTTGCGAGTTTAAACCTAGTTACAACGTCGCTAATGTGCATAATGCTTTGCACGCCTCGTACACGACCTTCATCAAATTAGTCTACAGATTAAATCGTCGAAAAAAATTATTGCGGTGCGCGTATTAAATCAAAATGCACCTTGCGTCCGCGTGCGAAGGTCTGTATAACTTAGCCCGTTTCGCGCCTTTGTTAAGTCCGCACCTACTGCAGGGTTAGGTGTTGTGAGAAAACAAATTGAATCCTTTAATATTAGTTGGTAGTTGATTACACCGAGGGAACATTATTGTTCAATGTGAAGAAGGTTAATATGCAACATCGAGAAAAATTAAGAGTATTAACAACGTGAACGTCTTCGAAACTGAGATAATTTACCTACCATTTTAACCGCCTTCAAAACAAAAGAGGAGGTACTCAATTCAACTGTATTTTTATGTATGTTACCTCAGAACTTGGTCCTATGTGAGCCGATTTTGATGATTCTTTTTTAGTTTTAAAGCTGGTGCATATAATTTATATATCCCACATAAATTTGATCGAGTTCTGACAAGTAGTTTTGGAGTTATCCTTAATAATGAGTATTATAAATGAGTATTAATATTGAAATCGGTTGTACAAAATTTTTAATTCCTTTACTTGTCTCTCTTCTTCTCTTTTTAAAAAACGTTACCTTCATACTAGAATTTTCTCCTGTATCGCGGGGACAGTTACCATACATAGATTTCACAAGGACAAACATTCAGACCCATAACAATTATTTGAAGGCCATACAAATACTTGATCCGTGCGGGATTCGAACCCGCGGGCCTTAGCGTTCCAATTCATTGCAAAAACACTGCGTCACAGAGCCGTCACTTGTCTATTTCACATTTTTGCTATTTAAAAACATGTGACACGCGACGGCATCTTTCTTTTATCGACCAAGTGTTAAACTATTAACCAATATATGCTGATCTTGTATTAGTAAGCAGTCACTGGCACTGGGAGGTCTACTTATACTGAATATTTTATCATTGACATTATACGCGAAAAAATGGAAAACTGCGAAGCTGTGGTCGGGTCGCAGATCAAATAATAAAACTAACTATGGCGTCAGTAACTAGGTACCTAATTATCTAGATCTACCAATAAATAATAATATCTTACCTTTCCGTATCCTTAGGAACAATAGAGAATGAAAAGTCGACATTCCTATTGTTATTTAAGCAACCGTATGTTATGCAGTACCTTTTGGCTTTTTGAGAGGTCATACTTGAATAAAAACTCAAAAATAATATCAAAAGGTCCTAAATACTCAAAAGAGAAAAATACTTTTTTTGTTAACGTAAAGCACGCGTCATCTCGAGCGCGCGCCTGACAACCTCACGGAATTGGCCCCTTGCACGGGGCCGCGGAGCGTAGGTATATTTTCATGCCTAAAGTGCGGAGTGAGACAGGCCTGGTTTCATGGAATTTTGGCATGAAATTTTGCAATTTGCCGTCGGCATTTCAGAAACTAGAGAGCGTTTCTAAACAGACGACTTCGTTTCTATGTTAACGAATCATACAAGAGGAATATGAAAGTAGCTTCCAGTCACCTCCCTTACAATATCTTTGAATCATTCAATATTTATTATTGGCCGACTGACGCCATAGACACCTGAATTGTTATGTAAAAAAAAAAACTATTAGCTATTGTGGTCACTTCGATTAATGATAACGACAAGATGTTTAGCCAGATGAAATTTTACAGCAATTAAAATTATAATTTTTATGACAAACTCAAGATCTCTTGGAGCACAGTTTTTAAGTGCAGCTTAATACAATACGATGAACGTGGATTCCTTATTTAATAATATAGGTTAAATTGTAATAATTTTGTGAAAAAACATTTTTAAAAATAATTGTGACAACTAAGCGATATCTTTCTTCGATTAAGAATCGAAATGTAGATGCGTTGTCATCTCTGAGGACTGAGATAGAATGCCTCGTTACAAGTAACAGATTTCTCTACAATCACATCATCAAGCTGCTATTTTTAGCCACTGTTATTGTGTCAAAACATAATATTTCTCTGTTTGAGCCAACCTATTTTTGCTGTAGTAATAATATAGCCGCAGCGTGGCACACATTAAGAAGTTGAATTGTAACTTATATAACTTTTTTACAGGTTTGCCAATCAAGTGCGATGGTGACATAAATCTTCTGGACCTGTAGCATGCGTTGGTCCGCGTTTTGGCAGTTATTGGTAGCTCTGGCGGCCCGGGGCCTGGCCCAGCCCGCGCCAACCCTCTGCGACGACGAGGCCTGTCGGTGTGACTCCTTTACACGCCTTATTTGCAATTGTACTACAGACTTTGGCGTATGTACATATACCTATTATCTGTCAATTATAAACTCATTAAATTTCATACCCTTACAATGAACCGCAATATAATATTTAGGTAGCATTTCATATTATAGTGTTAACCAAAATCGAGAGAACATAAATACTTAAAAGCTTTTAAAAATAATTATTTAATATTTTGTTTTTTTTTTCAATTGTGTATTTAATATGAGCTTTGATTTGTTCACTTGTTTAGAAAGATATTTAGAAAATTTCAATCGTTTCCCTGCACATTTATATATAAGGAAATAAAGCAAAAGGAAAGAATAATGCTATAATATAAAAATAAAATATTGGTTTATCGTCACCTTATGGATTCAAAAATCGGCACTCATTACTTTTAAATTGAAGGTAATAAGAACAGAACTTAATATAGATTTCCCTTAACCACTCCATCTTATTCAAAAACGGATTCACGATTGTAGTTCATATAGCCGCTTGAAACTTCAGGTGTCAACCTTAGCAGCCCGTTTTAAGCCATCGGGTACTAGCTTGTTGCTCTAAATATATCAAAATTATATTTAAAATATGAATATCATAACATCTTCAACATCTTTTTTTACTTGACTGTATATTATGTTTCTGTCGTAACCTCTTGAAGACCATATGATGCTTAGATCAGGTCAAAGATTAATATTTAAAAGTTCTTAGGACGTCAAACACCTTAGTCCCGCCTCCCTTGTGACCATGGGCACCCATTGGAAACGTGGGAAATTAAAAACTTAAAATTAAACGCGTTAAACTCCGTTAAATTAATTTTATTAATTTAACGGTGTATCCGCACTTAAGATTCTTTGTTTTTAATAAATATATACTTTTTTATTTTTCAGGAGGTGACACTGCGACCAGACGGTGCTTATCGGGTGCCGTCAACGGCCACTGCAATTATAATTGACGGGTGCGCTCGAGTACATTTCTTACCGGACACCGTCCGCGGACTCATTCAGCTCCGCAACGTGGAGATTAGGAATGTAGCGTATGCGGTATTTAATGAGCGTTCTCTTGCATGGTCGCCATTCTCTTCAAATAGCGATATGAACCCTGGAATACGCATTACCATACACAACAGTACAGTCAACGAGATCTCTTCACACGCGATTCAAGGACGAGTGAACGATATAATTATTAGCGATAGCCGAATCAGTAATCTCAAACCGTTTGCATTTTCTAGTCTGACTGGTGTTAAAAATATAGAACTTACCAATAATATATTTGATAATATCGAAATACAATCATTTAAGAAGTTCTCGACATTGAACTTTATGTTACGTGGCGGAACAATAGGTACGCTTCCTAGTAGGTTTCTATCTGACGTTGAAGTCAGTAATTTGTTTAGGATAAAAGAAGTTACCATTAAACACCTGTCTAGCTTAGCTTTTCTTGTCAATTCACCAAAGAAAGTTTTTATTGAAAGCAACGTTATCGATTCCATGGACGGAGATGGGTTTCATTTAGCATCTAGAGGACCAATTACTTTTAGAAATAACACCGTAAAGACATTACGAAAAGGTGCATTTTTCGGATTCACTGTCGATATGGATGTGTTGTCAACACTTGGCCGACAGGAACTTGTGTTAGATAATAATACAGTAATGTATTTGAATCCGACATCTCTCACGTTTAATCGGACAACTTTAACGTTAAGAGTGGATGGTTTAAACCTTAACGTTGAATGTGCGTGTGAGTTGGCAGAAGAATGGCGTGAAGTGCTAAAAGAGCAAGGAGGAAGCATCACTTGTTGGTATGAACTAGAAAATCATTATGTGTCATTACCGACATATGTGGACAGTCGATGTGGGACGTTCAAACAGAACTTTTGGATATATGTGGTGGTGGGCGTCATAATTATAGCCGTCGCGGCAGCCGTTTCAATCTTTTTTATAGTGAAACATGAAAATGAAAAGAAGAAAAAATTGCAAATAGTAATGCCGGACGGAAAAACGTATAGAGAAACAGAGTTTCATATAGTGGTCGAGAGAGCCGAACTCCTCACCACAGACTTATGACTGAATAATTAGGATCTAAGGAGCGCGCCGTGGGTCAAACATTCCGCGAGTGATTGTTCAAGTTAGTGCTCTACCTCATACCAGCCGAAATCGTGCCAAGTTTAGTTTATACGTCTATCAGTATTATGCAATAAGACCTAGTATCGTAATGTAACGCTAAGTTATTAATGAAAAATCATTGTTTATTTAATTAAATAAAAAGTACGAACTGTTAAACACAAAGATCTTGTTTACTTTATTTACATTTACAAACATCTATATTACTGCCATCATGCTCATGTTCTTCTTGTGTATATAAAGCTATTGCATATGAATTATTATAACGACATTGCTTGTGCATACCTTTCTATAGTATAATGCAGTTGCGATACTTTGCGAATGTGACTCAACATACACCGATAACGCTGATTTGTTCAAATAATAACGATACGAATCATCTAGACTTATTGAATACTTTTTGCAATTGCTCTTTATTCATGTTTTTGCTTGCGTGCAGTTCATAACATTTATAGTATGGTGATATATCAAAGTTATATATGTTATATACAGTTATTATATGCAGGAAGTCGATGGATGCAGATGGCTCAGGACCGTGCTTTGTAGCATTCCTTGGGGCAGGCCTACGTTCAGTAGTGGACTTGTGAAGGGCTGTAACGATGACGAAGATGATGATATGTTAAATTAATCAAGCATCTTTAAGTTGTGTAATCAAAATCATTTTTTGTCTTGTTTACCAATATATCTTACTGCATCAGCGAATATATCTTTCTTTATAAAATTTTATTTATAATATATTTTAACTTACCTATAAACTTACTGCACACCAGCAGCCACAGTCACGTCGCCTAAGGTGAAATGCCTCACATGCTGTAATTATAGCAGTTCTCAAGGGTATAACTACAGACCGAAACACGGCATTGCGAGCACTGCCATTTGTCGACAGAAATAAGTAAAAGGTTGGTACCCACCCAGGCGGCCTACTTTGCAGAAAAGAAGCTCTCTTTTCATCAGGTGATAGGAATATAAACAAATGTGTACAAAAATTATTTTTAACCAGCTGTTCCCCGCGACTTCGCCCGCGTGTAATTTAGGGTTTTAATTTTTTTTTTGCGAGTAACCCTAAAATAGCCTAAGTTACTCCTTATGACATCAGCTATCTGCCAGTGAAACTTCCGTCAAAATCTGTCCAGCCGTTTCGGAGATTAGCCGGAACAAACAAACAGACAGACAGACAGACAAAAATTTTAAAAAGTGTATTTTTGTATATAAGTACCGTTTATACTTTCATATGCATTTAGTAAAACGCTATAATTTTTACATTAAAAACAGACACTTCTATTTTATTTATTTGTATAGATTGACATTACCTATAATATCACAGATACACATTTATCTTTACGCTAATACAATTCAATGTCATCATTATGACATATATACTTTATAATAAACAAGGTCATTTTATTGTATAGTGCTTAATATTTTGCTCGAGACGAGAATGATTTCACGGACGTTTGCAACATAGCGAACACCGCGTCAACATTATAAAATATTTTATGCAAATACAGGATACAGTCATAAATATATTTTTTATAAAATCTATATAAAAGTGATATCTTTATATAAATAAAAGAGCGTTTTCTAAAATTTTTATATACGTGTATAATATCACTTGGGCAAGTTTAATATGTAACTTGTTTTCTTAGCGAATGTCTTTTTAAATTTATATTAAAATCTTCTTTAGCCTATCGAAATTTAGTGCCGGACAGTCTGTTTCAGTGTCTTTATTACTAGAGTAAGGATTTGCCTTCTGGCGACGTTTGGCAGGCGTTTTTATCTTTTTTAACAAAGGTTTTGGCGATCGTAGTACGTTACGGTTCGCATCTTTGACGCTGCTTGCCGTCGCCGACTGGTTTGTTGCGTCTGGTGTAAACGAGATAAGCCTTGCGATTTTCTGGCATTTTCCAAAGTGGCCACATACGTAACCAACTGGTCATAATGAAGTGATGCTTTACCAAAACTGGTTCCGTTAGATTTTTATTATTAAAAACTAGCTGTTCCCTACGACTTCGCCCGCGTGTTTTTGGGGATTTAATTTTTTTGAGCGGAACCCTAATTATTTTTCTAAAATAAAAGTAGCCTAAGTTACTCCTTGTGACATTAGCTATCTGCCAGTGAAAATCCTGTCAAAATCGGTCCAGCCGTTTTGGAGATTAGCCGGAACAAACATACAGACAGACGGACAGACAGACAGACAAAAACTTTAAAAATTGTATTTTTGTTATTAGTACCGTATATAGTTTCATATGCATTTAGTAAAAAGCTGTAATTTTGACATTACAAACAGACAGTTCAATTTTATTTATTTGTATAGATATACCTGCCTAAGTTTTGTAACTACATGGAACTATTTCATCGTTAACTGGTATTCCTATATAAGTTCTATTTCCTATAAAATTTCGAGTAACTTTCGTTTTGACAGCTCCTAAAAAGTACCTATGTATGCATGGGGGGCAGAATTGGGTTAGGTTTACTGACAACTTCACTCATATTTCAATTTTAGCTCTTGCTACCAAACTGGATCTCGTAATTTTTGGTGAGATATTAAAAAATTAAACAGTTCATGTGCATATATTTTGCTACCGTTATCTCCTATCTACGTCGCACGTGCATTTACTCTAACTCCTCTCGCAGCATTCTGAGGGATGTCACAGGGAAAGCGAAAAGACGCGGGTGGTAATATTATTTATTCTGTGAAGCGGGTCAGGCAGCCTTTACTATTTTTTGTTTACTCGTTCAAGTTTCGTGCAATTAGCAAGTTGAAACGTGACAATTTTCTTGTTTTTATTGGTTTTAGTGCTGAATTTACGTGAATTCGATTAGATAAGGTAAGTAAATTTTAATGTTAATTAATAACACCGTCTGTATTACAAAAGCGAACAGTGAATTTGTATTTTATTTAAAACTAGCTGTTCCCCGCGACTTCGCTCGCGTGTTAGGGTTTTTATGTTTTTGCGCGGAGCCCTAATTCTTTTTCTAAAATGAAAGTAGCCTAAGTTACTCCTTATGAAATCAGCTCGGTCCAGCCGTTTCGGAGATTACCCGGAACAAACAGACAGACAGACAGACAAAAATTTTAAAAATTGTATTTTAGTTATAGGTACTGTATTTACTTTCGTATGCATTTAGTAAAAAACTGTAATTTTGACATTACAAACAGACACTTCAATTTTATTTATTTGTATAGATTTAGGAACCTAAATCCTAGATAAATCTACTACGGTTTATGTAGAAGATCACGTATTTTATTTATTTATTTTATTTCTTTAAGGACAGCCAGAGGTAATTACAATAATACATGTTCACAAAAATAATATATAAGCTTAATTTTTAAATTTAAAACCTATTAAAGGCAGTCACAATAGGCTTCACAAGAATAGTAAACACTTTATGACATATATTATATAAAATATTAGAAATTAGAAACATAACCTAAAAATAAATCAAAAACCGAGAAATTCACCTTAAAACAATACAGGGGGAAAATCACAATAACCAATTAAACGAAATCAAACTCTTAAATATTATCTCTTAAGTTCTGTAGCACTGTTTTTTAAAAGAGGACAAAGAATTGCTAAAAATGTCCACAGAATCCGACATCAAATTCAGCAAACGAGACATTCTAGCTAAACTATTGTTATGACCTAGATTAGATTTAGAAGGAAGTGGATAGAACAGAGGCACAGATTTACGTGGATAACGCCTTGAAACTTTAAATTTTATTTCTCGCAAATAGCTCAGCGCTGTCCGTAGTTCCGTGCACTATTTTATAAAACATTACCAAGTCCAGATACTTTCTTCGGTTTGACAAGCTGTCAACGCCAAAGAATTTTAACTTCTCGTTATATCCGGCAAGTTTCTTGTCATTTATTATCTAAATAATAACTATTTTCTTTTTAGATTTATGTTTGTTTTAATTTGCAATACCTTCTAACTTAGTCAAAATTATCCATAATTTCAAAACAATACCTCCTAACTACACTTATTCAGTAAGCCATAGGATTTCTTTATGTTCACAAATGTCATAAATTGAAGGTTCCTATGATAATAAATTCACAATATAAAAATTATTCATTAATGGATGTAAAAAAATAATAAGCGTTTTTTCCTTTCCTCTAAAAACATCTTTTTGAAGTTATACTTCTTTAGGCGCATTTGAGAATAATGATGAGAGTGAATTTTTTTCGATACGCGCGCACACCGACAGCTACCTATAAACGATACCAGGAAGTTGTTACGATGCGCGCGCACACCGAAACCTAAAAGTGGCAACTTCATTTGGTTAATTGTCTGTCAACTGTCAAGTTTTCGTGAAAACTGGTAACTAATTCAAGGTAGTTATTCAAATATAATTTTTTCATTCAAAAATAATTTATAAAACGTGTTTTATTTTAGTTATTTTTGTTTTGTTACGCTAAAGAAGTATAACTTCTTACGTGCGTACATAAATTAGTACACACACACGTTTTTTTTAAATAAGTGGTCACTACACTTTATCGTCGATATATACATACATACCCTTGTATTGAGTAAGCAATGGCGCACAATAAGGATAGGACTGTATCCTATTCTGAACCTAATATTATTTCCTATGACGTATCAACTATAACCTACAACGCGGTCTATCTGTGTACCTGGAGTGCGACGCCTTTCTTGTTGCCTTTACGGTTTTGTTTAGTCGACTTGCGTTATTAAGGAAGAAATACAGGGAGCCAACCTAATCGTCACGGAATGCGGTATGCTCTCGAACACATTGTTATATATAAGCAATAAGCCAATCAACAGTTGGAAATGTAAGGTACTGCGTACGTCAAACATCAGCGAATCGGGGAGCCTGCGGCAAATCGCCGCTACTATGCTAGAGTTATATCCAGCAATGAAAATAGATATGTAGTTTTCAAATTCAAGCGTAACTTTGAGGAAGCTAATTAAATATAAAATGAAAATAGAAATAATTTTTTAAACCCGCATTAAAAAGTAGAATAATAGATAACAAAGAAAAAATTTCGTATAACACTACGCTTTTTCTAAATTGCGCGCACTTCTTTCGTGACCAATACGTATGATTAAACTCAGTTTAAATTTGACACGTATTTCACCTCGCAATGAAGATACAGCTACTCTGCAGCTTCTCAACTGTTTAAATCAACTTAGTGCAGCATCTCAAATAGTAGTTGACTGTTAACTAAGTGGAAGAAACAAAATACTAATTTTGTTTTATTCGTCTTAGTTTGTAAAATAAGGCTGAGAGAGATTTTCCATTTTATAGACTGGACATTTCAGACCCAAAACGAAGAAATAATGTTCTTCTTATCTCCACGCACAATCCCTGACGGGGTAGCCAGAGAGAACAGATCGCCAAGTGTCACGTCACGTCCTTACATACCTCTTTCGCTTCTTTCAGATTCATGTTAGTTTTGTAAAATATTTTCTTCATGGATTGTGGGATGCGGGCCCAAGACTAACAACGTCAAATCGAGTACAAAATTAATAAAATCATAAAAAATCCTTACCTTGAAGTTCCTTTTAGGTTGCTCCTTGTAGACCAAATTGATGGCGGCGGCTCGTCCAAGCGAAAATCAGGCTCTCGAGAATATTTAAAAATAGTTGCTGTTGCTGCCTGATGAGTGATATTACTGGCAGGACATGGCATTTCATTTTAATCCTCAGTGGACAGATGCCAGAATCTTTTTTGTTACTAAATTAACAAAACCGACGACAAGAGGGCGGTGTGATTTATATTGTTGGTTTTGAAGATACTTTAGTGAAATGCCATACATTTCCCTAACGAAAAAGAATACATGTCCGGGTCATAAATTTTCTATTAAGAGATAGAAAACTTACCTCGGCAGTGACTGTCCATCCAACACTTGGTGTATTGTGGGTGGCGAGGATAGCTCCAAGCCACGATGAATAAAATATAGCTCGGTGTTGTCTACAGGAGGGTCGCCTTCTTGCGGATTTCCCCACATCGTCAGGATTTGAATGTCAGTGAGGGTCACTGTGGAATATATCAAAACGTGATTCCTTGCGAAACTAGTCAATTTATTGCTTTATATTGTATATGCATATTAGTTATTTTTACTAACTTATAGAATAATATAGACACATGTGGATGTTGCTACGTATGTTGCTTATTTGGTTTTGGACTCGTACATTTATACTTTTGCCAGTGTGTCAAGTAACAAGAAATTAACCTCTAAATTTTGTAAAACTTCTTCACAATTTATGCTGAAGTGTCGCATTGCGAAGATGTTTGATTTTACGAAGCTCCAGCGGACAATCGATGACAACACAGTATCTCAAGTTTTAAACCGGATTAGCAAGCAAAATAAGTTTAGGCTTATATCAACATCGAAGCACTTGTTTCATAGTTTCACTTAACGTATAAAAATCCAATACAAACCATTAATTAAACATTAAAACAGGAGAAACAATCCGCTGGCTATCTCGTTTCTGTCAAAACGCTCTATATGTACCTAATTCAGATTGGCATAGTCAAAAACAAACAAGAAAACTGTGATTGTTATAGGATAATTTTTTAATCTTTAATGCTAATACATTAAACATGAAAATGCAAACTCGGGACTATCGATTTATATCGTAAACAATTTTTCGAAAGGTTAAACATTTCACTGAGTAAATAACAACGTATTAGTATTCTGCGTCTGTATTTCGAGGTCGCAATATATCTCTTCACCTATAAGAAAATATTCCGATCACGCAACTTCTAACGCAGGTGCATCAAATGAAAGGAAACTACGTTGTATAGAGAAACAATACCTTTAGTGTATTGAATATAATTATATTTTATTAATAGAGCGCTCATTTATATATTTAATTTTTATATATTTATAACTTGCAGTGAAAAATTATTAATTCGAGGCGCAGGAGGTCGGGTGACATTACGCGATCACCCCCCGAATGTTTTGTTACCTCGAATTTTTTTAAATGCCAGGATTACCTTAGGGCTTCTGATAAATGACGACATAATTTATCGAAGATTTATCCAGAACAAAATATTCATTATTTTGCAAGTAAAGCACGTAAAAAAACACGTATTTACCCACTAAAAACAAGTATCCTTCCGTTTGTAACTTATGTTTGATGTCAACTAAACTTAATTAGGTCTAAACAAGTGAAAAAAGCATAAAAAAGAACATTACTTTTACACATGGCTGATGGCACAATAGGCGTGTCATCTACTTCTGTGGCGAATGAAATATTTGTTCGCCGCCACAGCTAAAAGTTGTCGAAAATCGGTGCCGCAACGAATCGGTTAACTCAAATTCTACAAAGAGAATGATTAGCAGTAGACAGTTTATGGGCTGATAACCTGGTAGCACTGTATGCGAGACAAACAAACACACATTGCACATCACCAGCACAGTTGACACGTGTGCAATAGGGCTTAAGTCAATCCGGTTTCATTAAAATATTGAGTTAATAAGTTATAACTTTCTAGAAAGTGTAAATGCCTCGTTAATAAGATTTGGTATTTCAGCTCTGATCGCTCTTCATATAAAATACAACGCTATTACACTATCTGGCCAATGTTTAAACCAATTTGAAATTCTGTAGAAAGTTTAAAGCTTATTTCTTTTTACATTTATATCAAAACTAGCTGATGCCGCGACTTCGCCCGCGTTTTATTTGGGGTTTAATTTTTTTGCGCGGAACCCTAATTATTTTTCTAAAATAAAAGTAGACTAAGTTACTCCTTGTGACATCAGCTATCTGCCAATGAAAATCCCGTCGAAATAGGTCTAGCTGTTTCGGAGATTAGCCGGAGCAAACAGTCAGACAGACAGACAAAAACTTTAAAAATTGTATTTTTGTTATAAGTACCGTATATACTTTCATATGCATTCAGTAAAAAGCTGTAATTTTGACATTACAAACAGACACTTCAATTTTATTAATTTTTATAGATTATAGATAACTATTTGTATTAGTAAAATTATACTAGCCGTTATTGCCATCTTGTAAAATTATTGACTATTTTTTCACCCGAATACCAGAAAAAATTAATTTAAATTTTTTTAGCGATTGATAGAGCTGTTTGAATAGTTCTTGTTATCTATAAACCAAAGGATAAAAGTAATACTCTTAATTGTAATTCGACTCATGAGTTAAGTTAAAGGCACAAATTTAGTAACTAACTAACGTTAGAATAGATTGGCAATGCAATAGAGAAAAAGCATAGTAAGAGCAAGAAAGGTAGGCTAGACCATTCAAGTACACGCTATCGGCATGTATCGGCCTGGCGTCATTTGTCAACAAATCCCGCTTGTTTTCGCAAAACCTCAGGTTTTAAAGTGAAAATTCGTGTTTAATAGACGTAATTAATTGTGACTAAGTATCCTGAATATGTTTCGCAATGTGCTAAAAAATTGACATCGCATTCTTGTTAAATACTTTTTTAGTATACATTTCCTAACGCAGTTTGGTTTCAGTTACTAACTTTTAATTTATCTATTCATCATAACACGAATATTATTTTTTTAAAAACAGCGTTTATCAGCAAATTTATATTAACATTTTTTAAAGTTTATATATGAACTTAGTGGTAGGACCCCATTTCTGTCTGGGAAGGGGTGTCGTGTGGGTAGGTATTACCCTCTTACCTAGTATCGGTATAAATACAAGCTGTAAGGCATTCCATCTCAGTCCGTAGCGGTGACAACGACCTTCTTTGTTTAAAGTTAGCTGCGAGTTTCCATAGGCTGCAGTAGCCACTTACCATCGTCAGGTGGACTGTAAGTTCGTTTGGATACTTCAGTTTTATAAAAAAAATCTTTAACTAATATATCCTAATAAAATTTAAAAAAATTTAACATGTATTTTCAGAATGTCGAGAATATTCTATATTACACCATTTATTGGATCTCAGACACGATATTTCAATATTCATTTAATTAGTATAGCCATTCAACGAGGAAACGCAACTAGCGTTCTTGGCACGATACCACAGGGATGATATGTATGATAATTTAAGTTTTTAGTTTAAATTTTTATTATATATAGTTTTATTTGAATATTAGAAATATACACACAAAGCGAAAAGGCACAATGCTTTTAAAGATATCTAATTTGTCAACATACAATGAGTAGTTTGGAAGATCAGAGGGAACAGATGAACATACATAGCCTTCTAAAATCTTAACCATCCTTTTGCCTTCGCCGTAGTATGATAAAAATATTCACTTTCATTATCTGCGTCAAATCAGAAGCCACGAATATACGGCAATCGTTATCGATAATTATAGTTGAAGCAGGCAATGCATGGTGCAGCACTATTTGTGCACACATGCAAATTACACGCACACTGGTGTATTTTGATATTGGTCTCGCCCTAATCACTCCATTGCCAATCTATACTATACTATATCTAAGCCAAATGCAATTTAAATACCTATAGATATAACACTAGACACTCACTTAAGGACATTGATGGCAATTCTAAGTCGGGTGCCAAGAGCCGCGAAGCGCAAGCTGCGCCGGCGTACACCAGTTCCATCTCCAACAAGTGGAGACCCTGACGTTGTGTCGTGAACGGCGAGTCCTCATAGCCCACACAAAGACAACGGAATCCGTAACGGCTGTCGCCTTTATTACTAAAAACAATGTATTCAAAAATGAGATTTTAGTTAGCAATGTAGGATTAGGTACTGTATTTCTACAATCATTTAAAAAAAGGGAGTACTGGAAACGACATAATAGTATTTTTAAGATATATTTAGTATAAAATTAATTAATTATTAATATAAATACTATTTCTTTCTCTCTGAAAACAATCTTCATTCTGTCGTTATCTGCCGTCATTGTTAAAAATACAATTGAGATGTTTGTATTTTCAACATGTACACCTATGACAGCAGATAATTTAATTGAAGTTTTTTTTTTAAAGTATCACACCCTTTTAATAAAATTCACACCTATCAGAATTTCAAAAATATTATAAGTTTAATATATACTCACTTATCAGTTTTGCTGTAATCGCTCAGGTAATCAGAGGCTGTCTCCAGTGAAAATATAACCTCATTTCCCGGTACGACAAATGCGTTTTGTGGGTATTCAGAAATCCTGTAACAAAATTACGCGTAAGTTGACATGGGCGTTATCAGTTTTGAAGTTTTCATATCGATATCAAAAACCGTTACTAGATATCGATAAGAAGTACAATTTGATTAGGTACCGTTTCTGCAGTTATAGTTGCCAGCGATGGACTAAATGTTCGAATGTTCAAACCAAAACTACTTTTTAAAAAATCAGCACGCGCACTTATTTATGCAAAATGATAATTTCATTTGACATTAAATTTTACCATGTTACACAAACTTTAAGCTATTATTTACAAGTAAACTTTATACTTTAAAATAATAGCTTTAAGTTTTGGCGTTCGCATTTAGGTTGGCAACCAAACACTTAACGATAAAGGCACTGGATATTTGCTGTCTCGTTATTTATTTAGTTTTTCTTTGGTAATGGACTCGTACTATTGTACCTTTGCCTGTGTCAAGTATAATGAAATTATCCAATAAAATAATTTGTTTAAAAACTTGAGCCTGCAGACAATCGATGAGGTCTAAACCGACACAATATCATGAGGATCACATTCCTTTTACATATTACTTTATAATAGGTGGTTCACGTTACCATCGGAGCACTTGTTTCATCGTATCCACCAATATTTTACATGCACAGACTTACACAAAATCGCATCACTTTTACGTATCAAAATCTAATTCAAAGCATTTCAATAGTACAGGAACAGCAATTCGCCACCGAACAAGTTTCACCAAAACCAGGTATAAGTTTTATTTACCTTAAGTGTTCACAAATCACTCCCCATTCGAAATTTCGCATTATTCACACTCTATAGTTTTGAATAAAAATATAGAATTTATCTTATTAGAGATTTTTAAAATCTGAACATGAATTAAATTACCAGATAGGTACTACTTATTTATAGAGGACATCTCTCCGAGGTATAGCTCAATCACAAAGTAACTAATACGAAATATTAATTACTAGTACTCTTCGTAGCACTTGTAAACAGCTACAAGTTATTTATAACTTACGTAGTAATCACAGTAGTCACTTACTATGAGGTGAGCCTAGTGGCGGATTATCCCTAAGGCAAACTAGGCTCTTAGGCAAGGTTAAAAAGGGATGTGCGCGGAAGTTTTAAACGAAATAAAAAATTGTTAATTTGTTCACTCAACATAAGATAATTGACAATCAACATTCGAAAGGAAATAAATTTTATTGTAATATTTACTATTAAAATCACAAATGCACTTTTACTTATTTAAACAACGTTATAGTTAACGGCATGGATTATAAGCAACAACCTTCGATTCTTAAGCAAAACCTTTTTGACACCCGCTAGTCGGTTCTTTGTTTGCTGTGAAGTACGAAATGCACACAGTGTAAGTTACATAGAAAGTAATAGGCGCAAGAAACCCTCACCACGAGCAAATAGCATTAGTATACAGTAATAACAATACTTAACAATTGTATGTATTTAAATTAAACCACTTATATAAAGGACATGGTAAAAATAAAAATACGTTCACAAAAGGAAAAAGTTTAACAAATTAATTTTCTACTTACACATTAGCTAATCGCGGCAGAACGCTTATGTAGGATCTGTTATGGTGAGTGCAAGTGGATTCTGAATCCCCTTCATCACTTAGTTCTTCAGGTTCACCTTCTTCCGACGTTAGTTGGACGAGGCGCTAAAATATTGACATGATAATAATATTTGTGAAATTGTACAATTTTTACTTAATAACCAATCAATATGTAGTAACTTTTTTTCCTCTTCTTTTTCATCGACCCGGAAAGCCATCTACCGGATATGGACCTCTACCGTTATAAGTTATTTAGTGAATAATGGTCGCAGCACCAGACTTCTGGCACCTTTTGACGCTGCTGCTACTGCTATATCTGGACTATCCAGTCTAGATAAAGGGCATAATTATATCGGCATCTTTCGGAAGTCACGAGTCCTTCTTAAGCCGTTCTCAAAGTCGTCCATTACGATAGCCATGAAGAAATACGGTGATGCGTTCTCTTACAACGACACCTCTCGGCTAGTTAAATTTAAGAAAAAAATAACTTCAAAAGCAATAATCTATAAACATTTTACTGCACACATGCTTCACTCAATTTGAGATGATAATAAAATGTTAGTGGTCCCGCAAGAGAAGCGAGGAATAAGATTTCTTTTATAAAATAAGAGTGACAAACGAACGCACAGTCCACTGCTATCGCCAATAGATACTTACATCTATCCTTGAACAAGAATCAAAATGTAGATGCGTTAGTACCCCTCAAATAACTATGAGAGAACGCCTCATAGCCAGTAAAAAGGGTCTCCGGTTCTCTACACTCACAGTACCAAACACAGCTGCATTAAGGTGTTATTATTACTGCTATTCTCTAAAAGCAAAGTCTGCGAGCCGACCGATACGTGTCTACAGCATTGCTCTACCACGTTAAAGTTTGATTGAAAATAACCGACGTGATGTAAAATCTATGGCAAGCGCCCCCTGACTTGAGTAACAGCTTAAATGCCAAACTGTATTTTACATAAAATTAGCCGTTTGCATCATATATTTGCATATATGAAGTTTTTAAATGCTACGTCCATTTTTTGTTAGTAGGAACATTTTCAAGGTCTTAATTTTCAGGGCTTCCATATATAGTTTTATATATCAACAATATGGACATTGTAACGTTCAATATACTGCAGTTTTTATTTTTTGAATATTGTACGAAAGACGCTGCCCACATCGCCTGATTTGTTTCTTACAACACCCACGGGACTGAATGCTGTAGAGGATATTCTTATATCGCCACTACACGGTCAATTTATTTCTTTGTTAACTCGTGGAAGTCCGGTGCTGGAGTTGGGGGACCCCATTGTGACGATTGTAGTACAAGACATTTCGTACTTGTAATATGGTCACCCTTATGCCTGGCATGACAGATCTATCGGAAGCTATTTTGAGAATTTAAAAAAACATTTTCTGGTATTTCCCATAGTCGACATTTGCGACACCCACGGTACAAAATGGAAGTACTAACCCTCCCACGTAACCACCACTACACGGCGATATAGTGTTAAGTATGCGTGAGTATTTTTGTGGGAGTGATTTTAGTACTTATAAGCAGTATTAGGTAAAATGGTGATATTATCCCATCTGCTTTGTTAAAAATCGACAATTCCAGGTGATTTGGATATTCTTATAACGAATATTTATGAATGACTAAGACAGGGTACAATGAAAGTGCAAGCCTACTAAATGTATTTTGTTCTAGAACTAAGTGTACAGTGTCCGAGTGTATTAGCGCCAACTAATGTGCTAGATCTACTTATGATGTGAATGACGGCTGAGTGACAGCTACTCTGTTAAAATATCAAGCCTCATTTGCAAAAACCCTGTGGTTCAGTTATTTTGTAAAGAAATCTCTTTTCGACGAAATTATGCCAATTATATGACCAGTTTATACTTCTGTAACTTTCCATATAAATAAAAATATTAAAAAGTAATATTATGTATATAGGTACGCAAACGCACTTAAGCACGTTAAGCACTTGAAAGGTAAAATAGCTAAGAATCAACGAGTATTTTAATGTATATCAATATTTCTCATTAATTTCAAAATTACATATTGTTTTACGTTTAATATTTACATCAATGCAGTCTGATATAAATTATACACACAACACCAAAAAGTGTTTTGGATCGCCAAATTTATTTAATAATGTTAATATCATCCAATGAATACAACACAATCATTGTATTACTTAATTTACACAATGTATTTTTTAATTGACTGAACTCAAAACTAGTCACAAATTATTGACCAAAAGTTAATGAATGCATGAATGAACGATTTTCTACCTTGTATACCTTGCGGAAGGGCGACTCAGAGATGCGAGTTTCTCGCGTACATTGACACTTCTGTTTAGGGGTACCAGCGGCGGCAAATATAGTCAACGTGTCTTCAGGTTGTGCCGTGATGCTGCGAGGATCCATTTCCAAAACAACCCATGACACCGTTGATGGGAAAAGAACTCTAAAAAAGAGAAAAACTTACATTTCAGTATAAAAATGTCAGAACATATTTATTGTTCATTTTACCGAATTATTGTCAATACGTATTTATTTATAAAATGTCTATGGAAATCATATATATACATAAAGTGAGTAATGTTTTTTCTTTAAGTGAAAACAATATTAGCATAACTAAATTGAATCAAAGGTCCTTACAAATGAAATTGGCGTTTTGTACGGGAGGAATATAAAGTCAATTTCTTTTTGCAAAATATATTTAATTAATCAAAGTATGCACCGTATCTATGCACTTTTGCCATCTCATAGGTAGTTCATTGATCCCTTTACTAAAAAAACCATGGGGGCGAGAATCAATAAACTCTTTGAAGGCGGTTTGGACTGCCGCCCCGGAGTTGAAAAAAATTCAGTCGGGTCCAAATTCCGGAAAAATGGTAATCTGTTGGAGCAAGGTCCGGGGAGTACAGTGGATGTCACAGACATTCCAATTGTAGCTCATCTAACTTAGTGGTTGTTTGTTGTGCAGTGTGTGGTCTTGCGTTGTCGTGAAGCAGCAGTGGCCTAGAGCGATTGACCAATCTACGTTTGTTTAGTAGCTAGTTCTTCCTTCATGGTTTGCAACTGCAAACTGCTGCTGACAATAGATATCTACCGTAAGCGTTTGGCCAGATTTTAGAAAGCTGTAGTGAACGATACCGGCGCTAGTCCACCGAACACTCACAAGTTACTTTTTCTGAGCCAATTTTCGTTTAGGGCAGGATTTGGCTGGGTCTCCAGGGTTCAGCCTTCTGATTATCTTACAGTATCCACTTTTCATCACAAATAATTATTCGATTGAAAATCCCTTCATTATTGTGTCGGTTGAGCAAAGTCACACAGCAGTCGACGCGTGTTTGCAAGTTTGATTCACTCAATTCATGAGGTACCCATCGTTCAAGTTCTTTTACTTTGCCGATTTGCTTCAAGTGGATTAATACAGTTTTATCATTTACCCCGAAGCCTGCAGCTATCTCTGAAGTGCTTTGTGATGGATCCGCTTCCACAATAGCCTTTAATTCTTCATTTTCCACTTTGGTCTCCGGCCGTCCACGGGGTTGGTTCTGAAGGTCGAAATTTCCAGAACGAAAACGTTGAAACCAAAAACGTACTGTGCTTTCTTTTGCGACACCAGCGTCGAACACATCATTAATCCTTCGAGCTGTTTCTGCAGCACTGGTGCCACGGTAGAACTCGTATTCGTAAATATACCGATATTTCATGTTTTCCATTCTGCGGCAATAAGCGACGCCAAAAATAATGAGGAAAAAAGAAATGAATGACTAGCTAAATGAATTTATAAATTTGAATTTTGAATTCTTAACCAAAGAGGAGATATTTCAGATCAAAGTGGTCAGAGTACGACAAAACGCTAATTTCATATGTAAGGACCTAATATTAACATTTCAGTCGTCATAACCATTACCATCATTATAACCTATTAATCATTGAGTTATATGTACTGCGTACTAGAGAAGCCATTCCAAACAAAAATTGTGTCCTACTCTATGTCTTCGCGCATGCGCGGGAGTAGTAGTCGCGCATGCGCGAAGACTTTAATTTAATATAAAATAAGATATTAATATAAAATAAATATAAGAATTTAATATAAAATACTCTTATTTTAATCTAAACAAACATATTTCTAAATAAAATGTAATAATAATTATTTTATGGAATTCTCAAATCTTCAATTTACGCAATATTTAGTTTGTATGGATTGCACTACAGTTCAGTTGAACATAGTCAATGTTCGGAATTTAGAAAGCTTAGTACATATAACTCAATGCTATTAATATAAAATATCTTCCCTATTAGCCCCTCCTGTAGCTCGGCTAATAGGGAAGATATTTGCCTATAGTTGCATTGGCAGGCGGGTTAACAATAATTCAGTTAAATGCTTCTAAAGCTACGCCCAAAGAACAGCAACTGTTTGAATACGTTCAGCGAAAACGTTTAGAACAGATTTTTAAACTGAGGATGCTTTAGGAACATCTTCGTTATCGCGCGATGGTTCTTCATTACTGGTTTTTCGTTGTGTGCTACCGTTGATGCATTTTATTTTATTTATTTAAATAATATTATTTATTATAATATACAGTCCGCATGGATAAAGAATGGGATAATAAACGGCAGCTCATCGCGCTCGTAACGTCAACATGCACAGTACCAATAGCTAAAACCCACTAATAACGAAATTATCGTTATAACGTTATATTATTCGGTAAATTAAAAATGTTCATTTGATGGGAAAATATTTAAAAATAATTGTCAAATCAAGTACGCACATTAATTTTAAAATAAAATTTATGACTAGGGACCCGTTCTGACTTCGCCTGGGTGAGATCTATAAACCGACTACGAGACAAATATTTCGTGTCAAATGCCAAGTGCAAATGTTTTTTTTTACTTGTTTAGACTTTGTTAAGTTTAGTAGAATAGAATAATTTTTATTCAATATAGATCACATGTGTAATTCTTATTGAAAGTCATTTTTTAATTTACCACTGGTTCGAAAAAACCCCTCTGTCCTGGAAATAACCAGCAAGAAACCCACCGGGACTTTTTTTAAAGTAAAATTTATATTAATGGTTGTATAAACTATATACAAAATTTATTTCAGAAACTGCTTTGAAGCGACCACCTCATTCCCATTTATATTATAATAACACTTTTTATACAGATTCAGCTTAAAAAAAAAACATTTAATCTTGGGAATAGACAGAGCCTGTACACTTTGCAGGACCTTGTTGTAATAGCGTATACATATTGTCCCAAAAATGAATTACTGACTCTGTGGAGTCGAGAAACTGGTATTACTAGCTTGTGTTTGTTCTTAGTGTTTACAGAATATATATCACTTTTTTGCTAAAATTACCTTTATTTTTGTGAACATACATTAAATTTTCGTAAATATACTGAGGGGCCAACGTTAATATATTTATTTCTTTAAATTTTTCTCTAAGCGACTCCCTCGGTTTAAGGTTGTAAATAGCACTTATGGCCCTCTTCTGCAAAACAAAAATAGTTTCTAAATGAGCCGCATTTCCGCATAGCAAAATCCCATAAGACATTATGCTATGAAAATAACTGAAATAAATTAATCTAGCTGTCTCGACACTAGTGAGATCTTTAATCTTTTTTCCAGCATATGCTGCAGATCTTAGTCTGCTTGCTAGTTTGGATATATGGGGAAGCCACTGAAGCTTTGCGTCGAGAGTGATACCAATAAAAACAGTGGATTCCATAAGGCTCAGTACTTGCCCATTTAAAAACACATTGGTATTCAGATTTTTAACACTCTATATTGTAATTTTAATACATTTACTTTTATTTCCGTTTAAATGTAGATTATTAACGTTAAACCAATGCACTAATTTTGATATAGTTTTATTCACGACATTTAAATGATTGACGTTTAAGTTTAAAAACCAAAGAAATATCGTCAACAAATAATACTATATCATGATTATTCCCTACAAGAGAAGGTAAGTCATTAATATACACTAGAAATAGGAATGGGTCGAAAATCGAGCTCTGAGGGACACCCATTCGTACAGGTGACCCGGAAGAACTTTTACCATTGATAATAACTTCTGCATTCTATTACTTAAATATGAAATAATAAGTTTAAGCGCTGTGTTCTTCACAACATAGTACTGTAGCTTCCTAATTAATGTCTCACGGTGAACACAGTGGAACACCTTGCAAAGGTTACAAAACATACCCAAAGCATTATCTGAATTCTCCCGTGCACAAAAAATATGTTTAACAAGCTCAACTCCAGCGTCAGTTGTCGAGCGACCCCTTGTAAAACCGAATTGATTTTTATGTAGTAATTTATAAATATTAAAGAAACTTAACACCTGATCTAAAATTACTTTTTCAAAAATTTTACTAAATGTTGGTAGTACAGAAATTGGTCTAAAATTGGCGGGGTCTAATGTACTACCAGATTTAAATAAAGGTATGACTTTACTATGTATCATTAAATCAGGAAACACACCAGATTCGACGCTTGTATTAAATATAGTGGCTAGATAAGGTGCTATTATATCTATTATAGATAAAGTAACTTTAACGGAAATCCCCATAAGTGTGCCGTTTTGTTAACATCAATAGTTTTAAAATATTTAACGAAATCTTTTGTAAATACTCTTTGGAATCTAAAAGTATTTGAACAAGCCTTTACATTTTGTTAAAACAATTAGACGCATGACTGCTCATACGTAATTAGAACTAAGGAGGGAATACCGGATAGAGGCGTCATTCCTGTCATGCGCCTAATTGTTTAGCCAAGTTATATGTACCGAACCGACTGTTAATAAACCGATGTCGAATTGTTTCCTTCTCATTCTTATGACAGAATATTGATTGACGTTCACGACCAGTCTACTTTGATCAGTTCCTTCAACTTCAGAAGATTAACTAACTGCGGCAATGTCCCGTTTTAAACGTTAAAGCAAATTGGCAAGATGGACAACCAACTTCATCCGACGCATTATTAAGGATCCTAACAACTTGAAAAAAAAAACAAAAGAGTGTCGAAACCAGCGACTGTTGCCAGTGGCGACATGGATCAGAGATTTGCTTTGCACAGCTTAAACAGCTAATCTTTATATATACATATAAAATAGCAGAGTGAGATTTTGATAAAATTTTTATGGAGGGGTCACCTGGGTGGTCCTCAACTATAGCTGTAAATAAAATCCAAACTGAAAATTAAATCCTAGCAGTAATTACCTCATATTGGTGACAGTAGCCTGCTTGTATGGATGGTCACTCTCCACCCATGTGTAGTAGTGAGTATTGTTGGTAATTGGTTCCTCAGCGGTTGGGAGCAACAGATTTATTGCAGTCACGTGGGGTAGTATCTTGTGAATCATCTCCAACAGTTTGACTGCCGTCTGAGCACACGATTGAAAGTTAATAAAGTAATAAGTACCTATATTAATTGCTTATATATTAACATGAATACCATCAAGTTTAATTTTTTTTAATAGAATTAGGATGACAAACGAACAAACAGGTAAATTTTGTGGCCCATAAACATCTACATCTATCTTTATCTTTTATCTTTTTCTTTTTAAAAACGTTACCACCACACTAGGATTTTCTCCTGTATCGTGGAGGCAGTTTACAAACATAAATCGCACGAGGAGAAACATCCAGACCCGGAACAATTATTTGTAGGCCATACAAATAATTGTTCCGTGCGGGATTAGAACCCGCAGCCCCCAGCGCAATAGCTCATCGCTAAGCCCTGCGCCACGGAGCCGTCATCCGTATCCTGAAATTAGAATCAAAATACAATTGCGTTGTCGCCTCCTGAGAATAATAAAGATAGAGTGAGTCTAAAGAGAGTCTCCAGGTCTCTTTATTTTGAAATCCCGATGTTTCGGGTGCGTTATATTTATCGCATACATAATCACGAGTGGGACTAAGGTTGACATCGTAATGTCATTGGTAACCAGGGCTACCTTCAGCTTTTAAATATATTTTTTTTTTGTCTCAAAATGAGCCTCTAGTATCTTGACGTTTTGAAGTAGTATGCTTGGGTTTGGATTTAATTTTATTAATTTTGAGATCCCAAGCAGATTGTAGCACCCAATCATCTCTTCTATTAAAATTAACAACTAACATGTTCACTAATGGGCATACAATGAACATTTATTAGTTACATAAAAAAAGTCTTGTATGAATTCAAGTTCTTTAACTGCCTTAATTCGTTCTCTTTTGGAGATGGGCGTCTTTTGTTGTAGGGAAGATTATTCGCAGCAAAGCTAGCAGGTTGGCAATGGTAGTACCAGATGAAATACTATTCGAGCACCATTGAAGATGCTACTAACTACTGTCTCTGCACAAACTTTGGTACTAATAACACAGTAGCTAGGTATTCTGATCCACGAGGTACATACCTTAGCGTCATCGAGGCCTTCGAGGTTAGCGAGCGTGTACGGAAGCAGTGTATTGACCGCGGGCGAGTTCTGTAGTACAGCTGCATTCCGACGTAGGTCCTCCTCAGTCAGCTCGTTCCGTAACGAACAGAGCAGTTCAGTTTCGCGCTCCAATACCATCGAAGAAACACGAAGTGTCATAGAGCGCAGAGTAGACGCTATGGCGTCCGAACTTTCGGGTGCGTTCGTCAACGAATTTGTCCTGTGGAAGCAACATAGCTTTTTTAACAATGTTTCAACAATGACTTTATATGTAATATATTGTAACGACAGCCAGTTACATGTTACATCACATTTGTACTAGAATGTTCCTTAAATTCGGAATTCCAATAGAAATAATAATGCATGGAAAATCAGTATTTACGTATGGGCATAGAATAGTCAATTCCCTTATTTAGTGACGCAAGCAAGACTCGACCTTATTTCGACGGTTATAAAGCCATTTCTCCTTAAGGAATATTGTTCATCGCAAGTGTGATTCTAGTACTTACGGTAAGAGATAAACTTTTGAATGAGCTAGATTGTCCTAGAACGTTTGATATTTCTCCTATTGAGTATAAAAGCATGTGCCAACGACCGGGGAATTAATTATTTCGGAAACGAAACGATGAACTCTACTCCAGGAAGCGACTAGGAGCAATTAGCCTACGACACATATTAAGGACTACAATCAAAGATGCTAAGCGATTTTGGACGATGTGATTGTACATTTGTTATATTAGTGAAATAATACATTCATTTTTCATTTTTATCGGCATTTTTGCAATATTATCACTTTCTATATAGTAATTATACAATGTTAACTTTTTTATTCTAGTCATATCGACGATAACCTTTAAGTCTAAGAGTTACGACAGAAGAGGAAATAATCACCGGTAGAAAAAAATACAAAGTAGATTTGTCACGTTATTGTGATAATATACATTTCCTCTTTATGTACTTTAGTTTTTATTTTTAATTTGCTGTTTGTTAATGTGATTGGAAAGTAATTAAAAAAAATGTTATACGTAGTTTTTAACGAAAATATACATAATTACTGGTTGGTATTCAGTAGAGAAAGGTTCTCGAGGGGCAGCCTCGTACCGGCAGGTGAAGTGTAGGGCGACCCCTCACAAGATGGAGTGACGACCTGGTAAGACATGCAGGAAGTCGATGGATGCAGGTGGCTCAGGACCGTGCTTTGTGGCATTCCTTGGGGGAGGCCTATGTTCAGCAGTGGACTTGTGAAAGGCTGTAATGATGATGATTCAGTAGACGGTAATGGATGACAATCAATAATGGAAGACAAAGTTTAAGTGGCCCGTACTACTACAACTTAAAGTTACTATTCAACATTAAGGCGCTCTAACCAGTATCTCTCTATTTATAACAAAATCCTCCAGCGTCCAAAATAAAGATATATAAAATAAATTTAATAAGCAGTAATAATATTTATGGTAAAACAACACAAGTGGTTACCCATAGTAAATGAGACAAGGTATCTGTCCCCTCGCCAGTGTAGAACCGTTGAAGCTAAGCGAGCAGGAAGCGAAGTGAAAGGTAGTACCATCGGGGCCTTTTACTGACGGCAGTCCACAGTCGCCGTTGACCGTGCGTCCGCCATGGTTACACAACCTGAGCGCGTATCGATACTCCTCCTGTTAGTAATATATTCATTAATTTATTAAATATTTTTGTTCAGTTTCATAATTGAAACAAAAATATACAAACTCACCTTCAAAAGCGCTGGTCGTTCAAACTTGATTGGCACCATGTCGTGCTGGCAGTCTGCGCCGGCGAACGTTCCGTGGATAACCTCAACGCTGATCCAACAGTGTGATGGCTTCGGTTCCTCCGTGTTGGTGCGAATCTTAAATATTTTAATGACATCGTTAGAAACATATTTACCTTTTCATGTTACCGATAAAAGTCTTTTGGTGAATATAATGCTGTTATGTTATGCGTATGCTATATTAGTAGTATAGTTGTAGCACGGATGGGTCGGCTAAAACCGCGGAAGGACCACGCTCTCACAGCATGCCAGCTTAAAATAGCAGCTTAACGCTGCTGTGTTTCGTATGGTGAGTGTAGAGAACCGAAGACCCCTTTTACTGGAAACAAGGCATTCCTTTTTAGTCCTCACGGGTGACAACACATCTGCATTTTGATTCATAGTCGAGGATAGATGTAGATTTCTATGGGCCACAGCAATCACTTACCATCAGGTGCACTGTGTTCTCGTTTGTTACCCTTATCCTATAAAAAATAAGCCTCTTCTATAGATTGCCTCATAGGGAAAATTTTGTTATCTACAGTATTTTTTACGATTCTCGGTTATTATCAGAAATGTACTACTTCCCATCTTCTGTTTCAGTTTCCTTCCGTTACCTCTTACGACACCCATGGGAAGATATAGTGTAATGGATATATGTAGTTACTACACAGCACTAGTTAAATAAAATTATAATTAAATACAAGTATAATGTCAAAATAGTTTTCTTGCGGTTGATGAACATAAATTACGGGCAACTAGCAAATGAATAAAATAACAAAATGTTGAGCCTCAGACATAAACGAAATGAATTTTATTTATCTTCATCATCATCATTATCATTATAGCCCTTCACAATTCCACTGCTGAACATAGGCCTCTCCCAAGGAATGTCACAAAGCACGGTCCCGAGCCACCTGCATCCTGCATGTCTTATCAGGTCGTCACTCCATCTAGTGGGGGACGCCCTACACTTCACCTGCCGGTCGAGAACCTTTCTTCTCCATCGGTTGTCAGTTTTTCGAGCTATATGGCCGGCCCATTGCCACTTCAGCATACTAATTCTTTGGGCTATGTCGGTTACTCTGGTTCTACTGCGGATATCCTCGTTTTTAAGCAGAAAAATGCCGAGCATAGCCCTCTCCATAGCTCGCTGAGCGACTTTGAGCTTCATCATCCGACCAGCAGTGAAGGACCACGTCGCACGTCGTCACTGGCAACATGCACTGGTTGTACAGTCTCGTTTTTAAGTTATGAGGTATACCTGACGAGAAGCTGTGCCGTAATTTTCCGAACGCTGCCCAGCCGAGTTGAATCCGTCGATTGACTTCTCGGTCGAAGTTGGACTTACCTAGTCGGTCAGTCCTACCTATTTGTTCTAGGTAAACATATTCGTCAACAACTTCGAGTTTAGTGCTCCTAATAACTACCGGCATAGGTGTGACATGGACGTTAAACATGATTTTTGTTTTGTCCATGTTCATCTTAAGACCTATGCCTTCGGAGACACTATTGAGGTCATTGATGTTGCCACCTACGGCGACTCATGATATTATTAAAAGAAAATGCTGTAAGAATAATTTATAAGAAGAATAAAGACTAGGTTTTTATAGAAAAATCTTTAATGTAATTATGATTGTATCCCGTTTGAACCTTAAATTTATTTTCTGTTCTACGATAGTGAACGAAAACGAAACTTTTTGTTCCTTAGGTATACTCCTAAGGAACAAAAAAAATCGAGAACATCTACTCAGCCAATATACATTGAGACTGCGGACTCTCTCGGAAATGTGAGAAGCTTGAGCCCAGCTGTGGAACATATAAAGGTTGTAAATCTTACTTTACTGTAATTATATAATTTTTTTTTGGGTCCTTAAGATATATATTTTTGTAAGTCGATTTCGCCTACCCAATCCAATATATACATACATCATGAAGTAGCTCGAGCGTGTACTCGTAGTATCCAAGGCCGCCGTAAACGCAAGCGCCCACCAACATTATCCCAGGCCGGTCCACTGTGAAACAGATCGCATCGGGACTGCCATTGCCCGTATTCCACGCACGGGACTGATTCACGCGTATGAAGCGAGACGGTGTAATCAAATGTTTCACGGATTTCGAGTCTGGATCCTCCTGTCATAAGGACAAATTAAAATAAAACATTGCTTTTGTTCCCGAAAAGTTCATTACACAAACAATTTTTCACCTTCCACTTCAGTAGTGTTGAAATAATAAATTGTATACTTTAGTATTATACTTAAACACGGTTTAAAAGAAATTATTACGTGAAGAGAGTAAACTATACATTAAACCATTTGGGTACGAGACATTAGAAAATTACACATAATTTTATTTCTGTATGATGTAAATTTGAAATAAAAAATTACCCGTATCTCTGTAGTACTATAAGAAAGCTCAGCCACAATTCTAGCCACAAGCTTGCAACAGAATTCTGAAAGGCGATCTTGTTGCGCAATTTCGCCGTGATCGTGTGGTTTGCCGCATTGACGTGTCATCATCTGTTGTTTAATAGGAATCAATATAATATCCAAAAGCCGAGGCACCACATCCATTAAGTGCCAGTCAGTGTGGTTCGATCTTGTATTTGACGGGTCTTGCAGCTAAAATCACAAACATAAATATTTATATGATTAGGTTTACACGATTTAAAATCTGTACTGAATAAATATGAATAAAAGATATTTAAAAAATCTGAGGAGGTAAATATGCGTTTTGTGGTTTGCTAATAAAATATCACTTTATTTGGATAAGTAGAGAAAGAGAAAAAAGGGTTAGAAACTACTTTTATCGAAAGGAAAGAAAATATATTGATAAAAGATTACATGAAGAGTTAAAATGTAATATAAATAAAATCTTACTGATGAAATTTCAGTATATAGATTTAGTATAATTAGTAGCAAGGATTCTAAGCTACTAGAAGCGATGTAAAAAAAATTAAATTGTTCATAATATCATCTGATGAAAAAAGAAAAACGAAAAGAGCTACTTCTCATGATCATATTAAATGCAAATAATACAAATAATGTATTTTTTTACTTATTATAAGCCAGTGCTTGATTACAATCCCACCTGGGAGTAAGTGGTGATGAAGCTTAAAGATTTAAATATGTAACACAAATGCAGTGCTATCGATTAAACATCAAAAAGTATATACTCGCACGTACCCTCTGCAATTCCCTGTTATTTGTTCTTGGTGGAATAGGCGGAGGCTTCAGAGGGTGCGACGATCGAGGTACCGTGGCAGATTTGGATGGTACATCCTTTAGCACCTTTTGAAAAAATTGCATATTTAAATGTACCATCACATATAGTACGTTTAATGTTGCGTTAATGTCACATGGAAGCAGCTTTAAAAGAAACAATAAACGTTAAAAAAATATATATTGCAATAATTATTTATGCAAAATCACAACCGAGATGGTCAGGCTTTGGCGTAATTCTTAATTTATAGCAGACTTCAAAAAGAAAGAGGATCTTAATTCGACTGTTTTTTTGTATGTATGTGACCCGATTTTATTATTATTTCTTTATTAAACAGGTTATACATCAGGGGTAGTCTCATATAAATTTGGAGTAAAAATTCCACCCCTTAAGGGTAGAAATAAGGGAATGAAGTAGTTAATGATACAAAATTCTAGTTGTTGTCTTGAGATTGTGATATTCCTAGGATAAAAATTTTAACTTTTAAAATAACTCTATGAGACGACTTCACTGAACCAAAAAGAACATAAAATAATTTCCACATAATAGATTCTGTTGTCAGGGTTTAAGCAGTTATTATGTGTAAATTATGTTGTTTTTTTTTAGTTCTTTGAATTCGGTTTTTACTTTTTATCAAAAGTTTAAATTAAATGATAGGTGCCTTTTCATTACTTCCACAACGGGAAGGAAAAACACAATATAAAAACTGCAATAGTGGTAATGTTCACCTGTGCCCACCAATATCGATTACTGCAATTCCTTCTAAAGCATGAACCCGAGCTATATAATGCTTACACAATAATATCGGCAATAGAAGAGGATGAACATCACACATCAGATATAAGCTAAAACAACGAAGCCACACACGAAGGCCAAAAAGGAATATTTTTGTACAAATCTTGGCACCAGTCGAAATTACCTCCATGGGCTCCCATAGAAAGCCGTTGCAGCTCAGAAGCTTTTACGGTACGCGAGTAACCGGGGTTCGATCTCCTTACATCGTGAACGTGGTGAACGAAACTATCGTAATTAGACCTAAATGTCTAAGCTATGAAATATTTGAAGGGCACATAAAGTTATTAATATTATTATTACGGGAGCAGCTCTGCAAAATAATGCTTCATAAGCCGTGGGACATATTAACTTTTTACTCTCATGACTCGACCACGCACGCTTCGCTTCCATACGTTTCTTAACATGACAAATGTTTAGAGAGGCCTACCTTGGAATCGGGACGGTCAGCACGACGCCCTTCTTCGGCTATCAAACAACTTTGTGTCACCGGCACGATGTACTGGAGTACGTCCAATAAACTACGGGAGGCGCACATAGCCGCGCAAGTGGATGTTAACTCACGAACGTAAGCTGTTGGCACTTTACCATCCTGTAATAAATTGTATAAGAATATCATCATCCTTACTGCTCATCACACGTTCACTGATGAATAAACGTACTGAGTCATCTGCATCTATCGACTTCCTACATCAGGTCGTCACTCCATCTAGTGGGAGGCCACCCTATACTTCGTTACAAGCCTGCCACCCGAGAACCTTTCTTCTCCATCGGTTGTGGGTTTTTCGACCTCTATGGCCGACCCAATGCCACTTCAGCATACTGATCTGTTGGACTATGTCAATGTTTGTCTCCAATTACTTACCCCACTTTCCTGTGAACACGTATGTCATTCTGCTAAGTATTGTATACGAGTAACGAAGTAAATGGCAACCAACAGTCAGCAGTCAATTCGAAAAAATTTATTACAACATGCGCATGAATGAACAGTAGGTTTACTACTTTGAGGGTATCGGCACTAAGTTCACAAACCCAGTGGTGCGATCCATAAAGTTAAAAGGACAAAGTATAATGACTACGAATGGCAAGTTGTCGGACATTATTTTATATAAGCTTTTAAAAAATTTACTTCGCAAACATCCGCGCTATAAAATAAAATTATTTGTCTTACCTAGTATGAAGAGCAACAAGAGAGATAACTATTTTGCACAATGTGAAATGGAAATATATATATATATATTTCACATTAAGACACATCATTTTATTTTATAGCGCGGATGTTTGCAAAGTTAATTTTTTAAAAGCTTTTATATAATGCATTTCCGCAAAGTAACGTCTGATTCTATTAATTATGGACATTATTTTCTTTAATATATATATATATATATATATATATATATATATCCATTTCACATTGTGCAAAATAGTTAAAAAGATTAGCTAAAAGAAAATACGTTACTTAAGTATAACATTCGAGCATAAGTGGCATAAGGAAGACTCAAAATGAAATGTGATCTGCAATCAAGAGGAAGAAACCTGATTTCGGCAGTACAGTGTTCGATAGATCTTTACAAAATAATTTAACAAAGGAAAAATAACTTACCCTGACATGAAACAGCAACGAACAAAGATAGTTCCACTTCAGCGTAGGCGTTGGGAAAAACGCGTGGAAACATGAAGTGACAGTATCGTGTGCTTCTTTCAGAATCGAGTTCGTCAACTCTAATGCGAATTGAACAAGGCAAACTCTGTGAACTTTCGATTTTCCAGGTCTACGGGGCAACATGGCGCAGGTTGGTGTTGGCTCGGCCAATATTTGCTGGATGAAGTTGCGTACATCTCCGATCGCTTCGAAGTAAGACATATACTCATGTGAATTTCTTCTCTTGTTGTTCTGTGGGTATATCTCATTAATATAAGATTTCACAAGTCTCAGACAAGCTCTGATGACGTATACGAGTCGCTTCTGATGTTTCATCATGGTCAATTTCTGATAATTTATTGGCACTAAGCCGTTAGTCTCAATGATGGTGTCTCTAAAAGATTTCCAGCTCCACTGCATCAGGGTTATAAGGGATTTGAAACAGGTGACGGTGACCTTTCGAGAGACATTCTTTGAGAGCAGTATTACTGGTTCATAAACTTCGACGGCTCGTATTGGTAAAGCGTGGTCGGTGCTCACAACGTTGTAAAGCAGGCAGGGGATCTGACCGGCATTTACGTCCGTACCATTGTTGGACTTTTTGGAAGTCTTGAAGTGAAAGCCAACCTCATCATTGATGACCATCGCTTGCCCGGAAGAACCGCAGTCCGATGAAGGTCCGTTAACGCAAGCCCAAGCTACGTACCATCTATTAGCCTAGAAGCATAAGGTTTAATTTTTAAATCAACCGTAAACTTATTACATCACTATCAAAATAATAGTGATGATGTTTATTTGTAAAATGTTTTGTAATTATATGTGAAATATGTTTACATAAAACCTACACCTATTCTGAAATGGCACCAAATGCAGTCCGATATGAACATAATTTTATTATCAGCACGATAACTTACCGTAAGAGACACAGGATTGTCGAACAACACTGGAAATCTATCTCTTGGGGCGCATTCGTATACAATTTCTTCACTCTCTGCAAGCAAATCCCCATCGCCTTCCTGGTCGCCGCCGTCTGGTCCGATGTCGAACAATTTGATCTTAGCTGTGTAATCACCGCGCCCACCGAATAAACCGTACCCGCCTATAAGAAAATTAAAGTTCACACATTCGTTATCTAAATAATAACATAATGTCTACTAGCTATAAATGTCATTTTTATCTTAGTAAATAAATTAAATTGATATTCACGACAGTTGTTGCACTTGTATTGAACCTTACAAGAACAAAGTTAATTTCCTTAGTGCGTCAACAAATCACGGCCCGTTAAATACATTCACGCCAATTTTTAACTGATATGATATTTTATCTCTTTTATAGGATATTATTATCTTTATTATCAGTAAAAACATTTAGTCTAAAACTCCCAACGGTTTTCCTATATCTTAACAGTTTTTTTGAACACCATAAAAATGTACACCGTGACTTGCTGGTTAAACGTATATGAGAAACGTCTTAATTAAATGTTTAAAAAATATAACAATAACATTACATTCATAATATAGAATTAATCTTAGATAATTATTGTTTTTAACAGCCTCTAGAATGTACTATTAGAGTAAGAAAAATTAAAAATTAATTGGTTAAAATGCAGCTCAAGTTAAAAATGCACCATCAACAACTCCTTACCCACGCAACGTGAAAAAAAATTGATATCTATCTAGATAGTTTGAAACTCTACGTGAATCTTTTGATAAACTCATAAAAAGTATTACACAATTATCTTGAATTTGTTAAATTCAATATAGCAAAAAATTCTAAATACTTCTGGACTGATCTTAAAATAAGAAAAAAAGAACATCCAACTCTTATTCTTGATGTTAAGCGGTATAAAGGCTTCAGATGAGACGAGTATATTAAAAAATTTGGGTCTCTTTTAAATCCAATCCTTCACTATGTGCAGTAACAGACTATCTCTAATGTACAACAGAGGTTTACCCGAACTAGATCTACCGCCACTAACTTGTCTAACTTTGTAACTTTTCTTTCGGAGTCTGAGGACTCACGTATACAAGCTGACCATAGACTTTTCTAAGAGGTTCAATAATGCCAATGATAAATTGCTTATAAAAAAAAATCTCAATTTGTGTTTGATGGGCGCTTACTGTCATGGCATAGCACAAATGACTTTCATTTATCTTGTTGACAGATCAAGTGGTCATGAAAGGCTACAAGTCACTCCGATATTATGGAATATCAGGAGTTCCGCAGGGATCAATCTTGTGACCCTTCCTACTCAATATTTATCCTTATGATATAATGGAGAGTATTCAAAACTCTAAATATTTTATTTTTGCCGACGAATAGCATACAAAAATAACGGCGTAGAATTCCAGCACTTCATTTGTGTGAATTGTGTATGAATTATTTAGACTTAGAGACTGTGTGGTATAATGTCAAGAAAGGTTTGGTGGATGCAGATACCGAAGTATGTGGTGTAAGTAAGGTAAGGTTTAAAAGGAAAAACAATACGTTATGGTGCGATGATGAGGTACGGATGGAAGTTAAAGCAAAGAAAGGAGCATGGTTAGATTTACTAGCAACCAAGTCTGGCAATTTTAGCGGTGAATGATGATATTGAAAGCAAAAGGCAGTCTTTAGATTTCTAAATAAGAGAGTAAAAGAAGTAGTTGAAAGGAAAAAGCAAGAAAGAACGGATAAGAATAATAGAAGAATATCGGATATTTTATAGGCAAATATTAAAATTTTCTGGAAACTCGTAAGAACTGCCAAAGACATTCAAAACAGCCTAGAATTAATGCTATACGAGACCAGAATGGCGGTATTCTGAATAACGAAGTTTTGAACTTAAGGAGATGGAAGGAATACTTTGTAAGCGTGTTTATGAGTGATAAAACGTTTGAATTAAATGAAATAGAAATTCCGAAAGAAGAGGAAAGAGATAGAGAGATAAGTATGCAAAGCAATGAAATCAATGAATGAAAGCAATGAATAGTATGAAAGCAGGTAAGGCAGCCGAATATGATGGTACCACTCGAAACGCTAAAGGGTGGAGATGGAGTGGTGGCAGACCTGCTGTACACCTCTTTAATTTATGTTGTGAAGTTAATCGGGTACTGATGTAAAGCCGTGATAGTCCCTATATATAAGGGAAAAGGATCGCAGCAGGACTGTAAAACTACCCTGGTATCAGCCTTCTTAGCATTGTGGGAAAACTGTATGCTAAGATAGTAATTGAGAGTTATGAAAGGAACTGATGGAAAAATTTGGGATTTTCAAGCGGGATTTAGAAAGGGAATGGTGTGTACGGATCAAGTCTCGTCCATGCACATGATCGCGGAGAAGTTTTTGGCCAAAAGCTATAAAGGTTTTTGTGCGTTCGTGAACTTGGAAAAGACTTATGACAGAGCGGACAGGGATGTGATATGGCAAACAATGAACTCATATGAGCTTTGAGCGCTGGGTCGATACAGGCATTGAAGTCACTGTATAGAGACTCTAGTGCTTGTGTCAGGCTCAACAGGGCCTTCTCGGACTGGTTTGGCATCCATGAAGTTGTCAGACAGAGCGGTGTGGCTTCCCCGTGGATGTTCAATGTATTTATATATGGATGTCGAGGAGGCGAGAGAGGTGTGTCAGGATCGTGCCAAATGAAAGTCCATAGTCTCTGCCTCCCCTCTGGGTGATAGGCGTGAGTGCTTATGTATTATGTATTTCCAACAACAAAAAGTGGTACGAAATTAAAATATGATTACATTATTTTTTATAGAAAATCAATTAAAAAAAATAACTACAGAATACCTTACTCGTATTATCGTATTTATTTTGCTGTATATCTTTATTGTTTAAAAAAGCTTGGTAATTTTAGTATTTAATGTCCTGAACACAGCATTACATTAAATATTAAAGAGGCTTTAGCTGGTAAATAAATTTAAATTGTAAAAATAGTAATAGTAAAATAGTATAACTTACCCAGTACAACGTCAGTGTCGCACATAAACCTTATTGCCTCCACGGATTGTCCAGAGTATCCCCAGCCTCCACCATGGCTTTCGAAGCGATTGACAGTCAGAAAGTCTTCCATGACAGGTGCAACGGGAGCAGTGCTGCTCTCTTGCTTGCATTCTGTCACAGTTATACTGAAATAAAAGCAGAATGTACTCAGTAAGTACTAAAACAAAGGTATTAGAACTTTAAGAATAATCGAAATTGTTTAAAACTTCATTTAGTCTACAATCTACATCAAAATAGGATTAAGTTGAAAAGAGTCATCCATATTTTAAAATTTTGTTCAAGCGCCTTCAATAAAGCTGTAATTTTGACATTACAAACAGACACTTCAATTTTATTATATTTGTATAGATAACTCAAAAGCTATTGGTCAAACTTTCATCAAATTTATATGGGACCACACGAGAATCACCAGCTTTCAAATCAATAGTCGTCTCAATAATCATCGAAATCGGTTCACCTAGAAAAAATAAAGTCGAATTGAGTACCTCCTCCTATTTGATGTCGGTAGAAAAAAGTACCTGTTTAAAGAGTACTATTCAGCAAGCAATATAAAATAGTATGTTTACTATTTTTTTAAAGCTTGTATTTGTTTACAGTAAAATGCCTTAACCAGGCCTGTCTCACTCCGTCATCATCATTACAGCCCTTCACAAGTCCACTGCTGAACATAGTCCTCCCCCAAGGAATGCCACAAAACACGGTCCTGAGTCCATCGACCATCGACTTCTTGCATGTCTTACTGGGTCTTTACTCCATCTAGTGGCGGGACGCTCTACCCTTCGTCCGTCAGTACGAGGCCGCCACTCAAAAACATTTCTTCCCCATGGGTTGTCGGTTCTTCGAGCTATATGGCCGGCCTATTTCCACTTCAGCTTAAGAATCCGTTGGGCTATGTCGGTCACTCTGGTTCTACTAGGGATATCCTCATTTCTAAGTTTTAACGCAGAAAAACTCCGATCATAGCCCTCTAGCTCGCTGAGCGAATTTGAGCTCCCTCATCCGGCCAGCAGTGAAGGACCACATCTCAGTTCCATAGGTCATCACTGGCAACACGCACTGGTTGTACAGTCTCGTTTTCAAGTTTTGAGGTATACCGAACGAGACGATGTATCTCCAACAGCCAAGAGATTAAGAATGTGATCGGAGAGTTTTTGTGTTCTTCTGCGGCGGGGCTTGCAAAACATAGCTCCGACCGCATGGACAGTTTTCACGAGCTTGTCACTCATATTGTCCACTGCATTGCAATCTTCTAGGCACTGAAAACGGTTTTGTAGCTCGAGCTGAAAGGTTTTAGGACTCTGGATTAGAGCACGAGGGGGACGGAGCGGACTTCATTAGACGTGAACTCTCCAACTTAACGTTTAGGTTCAGTGTGCCGGTTTTCACCCTCGCGATCACTGAGACATCACTGAACAGTTGTCGTCTGGTCGTCATAATGAAGTCAATCTCAATTTTTGTCGAACTGTCGGGGCTCGACTACGTCCACTTCTTGTGGGGCCGATGGTCCAGCCATTGGGTTCCGTTGCCCTATTCCAAATTTTCCTACCTTCAGCTCACCGTTCTCTCTTGTGCGTAGTTTTGCGTTGTAGTCTCCCATTAACACCGTAGAGTGGGTTTTGGAGGAATGCATCGCTCTAGATATTATATCCTCATACATTTCCTCCACTTCTCCATGGAAGGATGTGCCAAGATTGGTGCGTAAACCTGTATGACTTTCAGCGAATACCGTTTAGTGATTCTGAGCATAAGGTACGCAACCCTCGTCGACACACTCTCAACCTTTACAACGTTGTTAACGAGAGACTTGTGAACGATAAATCCGACACTTCCTTGCGACAGATGGTCGCTCTCCCGGTGATAGAACAAGTTGCCGGATTCGAGGATTTATCATGTCCACCCCCTCTCTTCTGACCTCAGATAATCTTATAATATTCAGGCGCAACTTGTTTATCTCTTCTTCCAGCTCCAGGATATTCTCGTCAGTCAGTGTATGTTGCCAGGTGGAGTCGTCTTAGGTGGCAACCGAACCTCCACCGGAGATTCTTAGCACCCCATGCCCCGCCGTTACCATGGTCACCACCGTAGCAAGGAATAGCGGGGCCGCCGGGGACTGGGGGCCGTCTCTTCGTAACTTTAATCATCGGCGCGGCCGTCTACATGAGGCTAATTCCGTGAGGTTGTCACGCGCGCGCTCGAGCTATCGAGCATATTTATTTTTGAGTTTTTATTCAAATATGGCCTCCTAAAAAGCCAACAATAGGAATGTTGACTTTTCATTCTTTACAGTTCCTAAGGATACCGAATGGTAATATATTATTATTTATAGGCAGATCTAGATAATTAGGTACTTAGTTACTGACGCCATAGTTACAGATTTATTGTTTGATTAGTGACCCGACCACAGCTACGCAGTTTTCGAAGTTTTCGCGTATAATGCCAATGACTAAAAAGTAGTTCAGTGTAAGTAGAGTAGTATGACTGCCTACTAATGAAATATCAGCATATACTTGTTAATTGTTTAATAATTGGTCGATAAAAGAAAGATTGAAAGTAGCAGCACTTCTCATTGCCACTCTTTCATTAATAATGAATTCGCGTGTCGCATGTTTGTAAATAGAAAAAAATGTAAAACAGGCATGTGACGGCTTCGTGGCGCAGTGGCTTGGTAATAAATTGCAGCGCAAAGGGTCGCGGGTTCGAATGCCGGACGAAACAAGTATCCGTACGGCCTACAAATAATTGGTCTGAGTCTGTTCTATGTATGTAAACTGTCCCTGCGATACAGGAGCAAATCCTAGTGTGGAGATAACGTTTTTTAAAAAGAGAGGAAAAGAGAAAACTAATGAAATTAAAAATTTTGTAGAACCGACTTCAATACTAATACGCATTACTAAGGATAATTCCAAAACTATTGGTCAGATCTTGATCAAATTTATATGGGATGTTTAAAATTGATGGGTCCATGGCGCAGTGGCTTAGCAATGAGTTGCAACGCTGGGGCCGCGAGTTCGAATCCTGCACGGAACAAGTATTTGATGTTTGTCCTTGTGCAATTTATGTTTGTTAACCGCCTCCACGATTCAGGAGAAAATCCTAGTGTGGTGGTAACGTCTTTTTTAACAAAATAAAAATAAATAATACTAATGCAATGATAACACCTCGGTGTATTCTACTATATACTATCTAATATCAAAGGATTTAATTTGTTTTCTCACAACATCTAACCCTACAGTAGAAGTGGTCTTAACAAAGGCGCGTAACGGGCTAAGTGATACAGACACTCGCACGCGGACGTAAGGTGCATTTTGATACATGATTTTTTGCGACGAAACGGTAAGCTAATTTCACGAAGGTCACTTCCGAGGCGTGCAAAGTATTACGAACATGAGCGACGTTGTAACAAGTTTAAGCTTGCAAGTTTGCTATCGGAGAGTGAGTCTTCTGTTCTTTTAACTATTATTTATTATGTGCCATAACTAAGAAGTGATATGATTCCATTTGACAACACCTAAAATATCATTAATTGGCCGCACATATACCTTATTGTCCTTGTAACTTATGGATTTCACATCACATCGTCATGACATGAACACATGACCTTCCATTAGAGTCAATTCGCCATAATCGCCAGACTGGGCAGTTAGACTGGCAATCGCAGTTCCAGATGTTTTGCACCTTTGACGACTCCGGTCTGTATATTTTACATCTGGTGGAAATACAGGACGGTTATATGGCCTATCTACCGGAGGTCTTTCAGGTATTTTCCCTAAGCAGCCTCTTACGACATTCACATAGTCAAAGATTTTTTTAAGCCGCCGTGTAGTGGCAGAAATCATATATTTAAATATTACTTACTTATTATCATGAGCATAAGTGAGAGAATCCAGACAGCCCAGCAAATGTAGAGCAGCATGCATTCTGGTTACAGAACATTCTGGCACATATGGAATTGCTAGATCTTGATTAAGCACAGACATATTGGTGAGCGCAAGATTCTCTGGAGCCCTTTCTTCTTTACTGTGACACGTCTCAAAAGTCTCAAGATCTTTGAATTCATCCAGCCTCCGCATGATTCCGTAGTTTGGGTATTCGAAGTCTGGGTCGATGTTAAAGTCAGGGTCGTTGAAGCAACGCTGCAGCTTATTGGCATTAAATGCCAAAATATTGTAACACTTCATGACTCGCATCTGAGGCTGATAGCACCAAAGCACGTCGTAAAGCGGATCAAGACAGGTAAGTGTGTTCACAAAATCTACTTGCTCGGATCTGGTCCATGCGTTGCACGCGCCGTCAACTTTGTTAATTGTTATGCATTTAAAAGTGTGCTCTGGCCGATTAGGGAGAATCACTGTAAAAAAAAAAATTACAATAATATATTATATTGCATCAATAAAATTATTCAACATCATCATCATTATTACACCCCTTCACATATTCACTGCCAGCAGTGAGGAGGCTTATGTCCAACATAAGCCTCCCCCATGGAACGCTACTAAGCAGGTCTTGAGCCACCTGCATCCATTGACTTTCTGCATCTTTTACCAAGTCGTCAGTCGATCTAGTGGCGGGCCGCCCCTGCACTTCGCTTACCGGTACGAGGTTGCTACTCGAGAACCTTTCTTCCTCATCGATTCTCGGTTCCTCAAGTTAGAATTAACGAAACCCCCATTAAATGAAGCGATGACCTGATAAGAGATGCAGATAGTCGACGGATGCAGGTGGCTCAGGACAGTGCTTTGTGGAATTCCTTCGAGGAGGCCGAATTTATAAATACTGCACTAACCTACTAAACTTTTAAGGCAACTGAATAGCCCTTTCGTTTATTAATTTATATTGATTAAACACAACTTGCAACTTTACTGCCACAAAATTAGCACTTTTAATTAGAAAAAGCAGATTAATTTCGTAGCTATAAATTACATATTCAATATACTTACCAATACTATTGTTATTTGCGGTTATCGTCGAACTGAAAAGCGTGTCAGTTTTGATGAGAGACTGTGAGACCTGAACAAACGTCTGATCACCAGAAGCTGAAACCCAAACGGCCTTGCAGGTGTGGCGATGTCCAAGGCGAGCCACGCGACCAGGAGTTGCGTACCAAAGACCACTTCGCTCTGGTCGATCGGGATCTTCAATACGCGGTCGGCCGAGAGAACCTTTCTGAATGTGACGAAAAAATTAACTTTAGCACTCGTTTTCAATGATGTAGGGAGTATATAGAGGAGAAACTAGGATTCTCAAAAACTTTCAGTAATTTAATGGTTGGGCGATCACCTTTCATAATGGAATTGAATTTCAAACCGGCGCCAGATATAGCAACAATATTTGAACAATTATTTGAAGGACTTTGCACACCTGTTTGAACACTTATTGGCACAACCTGCCAGACATGATTTGCAAACAAATCTCTCCACAGTACGTTGTAAACAGGCCCGGTCATCTTTGTATGGGCGGAATGAAATGCCTACGGGGGCTAAATTTCATTATTGCCATTTGTCAGATAAATGTCCTGTGTGACAATTAGTAATATTTTGCTAAAGATGAATTAGAAACTCTCAAATTGTAAATTTTTCTTATGAAGATTACTATCGCTGCCACATTTTTTTGCGTTATTATATTAACATATCATTGACAGAAAAGGAAAAAAAATGTTCTTTTTTTTGTTTTGATTTTTAATGAGTAGAAAATTATATTCGTTTCTGGTAGCACTAAAAACAAATAGGGCGCCGTTGCATTATTGTCGTTCAAGGTTGATTGTAGTTTTTGTTTGGATTGTATCTCCTTTTCTACGATTTTGCGAGCTTAGGACGTCGAACTAAGATTTATTTCGTCCGTTTTGTGTTGTGCAAAGTATTAGACATTGATCCGCAGTGAAATACGAGAAAGTGACTCTAAAAACCGTGCTGTGGAATGGCGGATAAAGAAAATAGAAGGAAGTGTTTTAAGTGCGGCAGCTCACCGGCCGTAGACAACATTAAATTATCTATTTTTCCGAAACCCGAAGTCTGCAGTATATAACATTTTGCGATACGTATTTATTCACTTCAAGTTCTAACCTTAAAGAGAACTCTTTATCCAACTTATAAAGGTTATTTCTCATAACCATCTATAAACAGAATATTGGTTAGTAAACCACTAGAACTACTTTGATATTATTCGTATTTAATAATAATATTTTTCGGTTTCAGCTGTACATTGTGGGCGAAATATTTGTTTCCTGCCAAAGAGTAGTATACTAGCTTTCCAGGCAAAGCTACATAAGGAGCACAGAATGCTGTGTGAAAAACATTAATTTTAATGGTGGTGATTTCAATGATGCTTCCAAGAAATGTACAACCCAAAAGATGATTTTAGTGAAGGGTATCAGGATCATGGTACCATGGTACCCACTATTTCTCCCGTGCATTTTCAACTGCAAATAGACTTTCTGTACTAATGAAAAAGGTAGTTTATAGTACTTTATATGATGTTTTGTTTTCTTAAAATATCAAAAAATGTTGACTAAACAATCTCAACAGCAGTAAACTATATTTGATTTTTAATTTCAGGTCTTAAATCAGTGCTTTCAGGCTGGAATAAATATATCTACAATAGTCTGTGACATGGATGAAGTAAATTGGCGAGTTCTGTCTGTTTTGGGTGCAAATATGCAACAACCCCATTTTACATTCCACAACAAAGAAATAGTGACACTTTTTGATACACCACATTTGTTAAAGCGTTTTTGAAATTTATTTATGGAATATGACATTCAGTGCAGAACAAATATTTCATCTGTTAGTGAGATTGGAACAGGTAATTTGAAGAGTAGTTCTGCATTTTATATAAATTATTTGACAAAGCTTGTTGCAGAATTTTACATAAAAGTCTAGTCACCTAAATTAATCAACTATTCAGGGAAATAAATAGACAACCAAATATTGTTAAAATTAATTTATGAGTTTTTACACTTTGCCAGGTGCAATGCAAGAGCTTATTTATTAATTAAGTTGTTTGAGAAAAATATATTTATAATATCAATTCATTCATGATTGTAAATTATATATAATATTATTTTTATCATTGTTTTACATAGGTAATTGAAATATTGTGATAAATATTTAATTTTATTTTCTTGTTTGAACTTATCTAATGACTATAGATAGAACTAAGTCACTGGAGAAATTTTGTTTTCCGTCTGTTGTGTTATAGTATTATGCATGTTCAAGAAATGTGTTTTTGTACCTTAGAACCACCTGCTATTAGGTAGCCAGCATACAAATACTGGTCGCGTCGGCGATGCCGCATGTATGGTGGTCACATTCCATCAGGACTGTAATACTAAGTCTACAAGACAGACATTGTAGGCTTATTATTACGGTCCTGATAACACCCTTTGGGTCCCGACTTATAAAAAGAAAAGTTAAGAGAAAAGGTGGTACATGCTTTCATATCTTTTTCTCATATAGGTAATTAGTGGGTAGAATATGTTGTTGGAAATTAGTTGTCATTTCTATAATTTATACCTAAAACACCAGTTTTGTAAAGTAAGTTATGTATATTTTTTAATTTTAATTTGTATTTTGAATAAATAAATAGAAAACTGTAATTTATTGTTCTTTTATTCAGCGCTGTGATAGGCAACCCAAAAAAATACCTCAAATAATCCCCAAAAAAAAAGAGCAACGTTCAAATTTTCCCGCCACGAAAATATTGCAGGTGGGCCGACTATAGATGGAGCTAGTGGGTATATTCATTTTATTTTATATGAAGTTGGCATTCTTCTCCGTAGGAGTAAGTGTTCTGTGGTTGTAAAACGACAAACAAGATTGACGACGATTTTGTGTATGCAGTGTCATTATTTTATTACATGTGCAAAAATATTACAATAAAATACTGAAAAACAAGATTATCTATTTCATTCCGAAGTATTAGTCTGTCATCTTCATCCAAGGGTTTTAACTTTTCAGATAAAATCTGACCATACAAATCACATTCATTCAATTGTTTTTTTTTTAGTTTTTATGATTGGACCTATTTTTAAAACGTACTGCGCACGACCGTCCCACTCAACAACGTTCGCGCGACTTAACTTTGCGCAAGTGTGGCAGGCTACGCAAACATTTGAACACTGTCAACTTTGAACGCTTTGATGTGGGCTAAAAAACCGAAACCGCTTGGCAAAGTGCATTTCTTTGTGCACTTATTTGAACATTGATTCAAAGTCCCGTGCTACACATAGCTTCAAACGAGTGTTCAAATGTTTGAAGCTGTATCTGGCGCCGGCTTCATAATAAACAATGTAAAAGTTACATTGTTTATTATGAAGCCACAATGTTAGGTGCCAACTGACCATATGGTTGGCAATGGATAATCATATTCTGAGAAATTTGAACCGAATTCCATAATACCTCGTAGAAGTAGATTGCGATCTCAGTCAAATATTATGTTAATCACACAAACTCAGGTGCCAACCGATCACATGCTTGCCAAAAGAAAAACATCTAAAAAACTTGCAGGCTATGTCCTTTAATTGCCTCCCTAGTTTAATCTATCAAATTACATGACATATAGGCGTTTGTTATTCACCTTTAGCTATGGAGTGACATATTATATTAAATCTTAGTCCTTAGAAAAGAAAACGCATATGCAGCTTTCTTCGTTTGGTTGCAGGTCTTCATAACCTTCAGTACTTACCATCAGGAAGACTTGTTTGCTCGTTTGTCACATTAATGTTGCAAAGAATAAAGTGTACCTGGTAGCATCCGAAGGTGAACAGTTCGCCGTCACGCGTCAGTACGGCAGTATGATTGCTGCCGGCGGCCACGGCGGAGGCGCGCGGTACTCGAACCCGCACTATGCGGTGGTGCGCGGCTACATCGCCCGCACCCAACTGGCCCATTTGGTTCGAGCCGAACGTCAATACCTCGCCTGCCAGTAGTTTACAATTATTTAGTAGTAGTATTTAAAAATATATATCAGAATATTAAGTAAACGACACAATAGAAGTTGAATTATTGTATAAGTATGTAAAATTATAAGACTTTACATTTTTCTAAAATCTACGCAATACGATTTATCTATATATTATAGTAAACAAAAAAGGTTAACATAATATTTGTTTTTCATAAAATGTATTATAGCATCTAATGTTTTTTTTTGGCTGAAGTACTCATATCCGATGAAACATTAAATTATTTTATTATTGAAAATAAAAGCAACTGATTGACAGTTTAAATAAATGGTTTGAAGTAGGTTTTCATACGTAAAAGTGGTGCGATTTTTGTGTGAAATGTGCATGTGAGCCTATAAGTGAAAACAATGAAACAAGTGTCAAGTTCATCATTGACTGTCTGCTGGCACAAGTTACCGTCATAATCTTCCAAATAGCACTGTGATGAAATAAATGTTGTGAAGATTTATTTAACTAAACATTATTATATAAGACAATTTATTAATACTTGACACTGGGAAAATTCAAATGTAAGCGTCCATTATAAAAATTAAAATAACAGAGTCACAAAGGTAATATTATTGGTTACCGTGCTCCGTGAGCAGCGCGGAGTGGTGCAGTCCGCAGGCGACGGCGACGACGCGGTGTCCGCCGGGCACAGCGACGCGCGCCGGCGGCACGCTGCTCACCTTCGCACCCGCCTCGCGGTCGCACTCCGCACCCACACTCGCTAACATACTCGACGGACCCTCGAACGCAGACGCTTTCGCGCAGTCTGCATCTACGAACAGTGTCATATAGTTATCTATGTCTGTTAGCCGATTCTGCTCTGCAGTAATTAGTGAAAAATTGTAAGGATCATCTGCGTCAAAGCAACATGACTTTCGTGTGATAAAACGACAATTAATAAAATCTGACGAAGTAAATAATGCTGATAACTTGCATTTAAATGGCACTAAAACGAAATGTATGAAATTCATGACTCCAAATGTCAAACAATTAATTACTAATGTAATTTTAAATGGGGAGGAACTGAGTCTTGTCGACACCACCATTTTTCTCGGAATAACACTAGACGCGATTAATCAATGGAGCCCCCATATAGCAAAATTAGCATGCAGACTTCGTTCTGCAGCATATGCTGTAAAAAAGATTAGAAATCTTACCAGTGTGGAAACAGCTAGACTTGTTTACTTTAGCTATTTCCATAGCACATTGTCGTATAGTATTTTGCTATAGGGACACGCCACTGACACTGAAATTATATTTGTTTTACAGAAGAGGGCCATAAGATCAATTTATGATTTAACGCCTAACGAGTAGCTCCGACGAAAATAAGGGAATTAATTTTTCCTTTCAACACATTTATGAAAATGTATGTACGTACATAAAAATATAAGTAGTTTCACAAAAATAAGTCATATTCATTCTGTAAATACTAGGAACAGAAACAAGCTAGTAGTACCAGTTACTAGATTCCACCGAGTCAGTAATTCATTCTTGTGGCGATGTATACAATAAAACCTCAGAAAATATACAAAGTTTGACCTGCTTAAAGTTTAAAAACTTTATTACACTAAGTTTGTGTAAAAAGGATTATTATAATATTGTTACGAGCTTGGGGTTCAAGACAATTAAAAACTGCCGATTAAATTACCAAAATTGACACTTTAATTACGCAACACTAATTACAATCTAAAATCACACTAATAATAAAACACAGTTCGCCGTTATTTCGCTTCGAAGTATTCTCTTGTATCGCCAATTCAATACTGCCCCGGTCGTGGTCTTTACCGGTCTTATATAGGGCCTCAGGTAGTTTCCAGAACCTTCTACTGTAGCGACATCTAGAATGTTCGAGTACATATCGGTCCCGAAATTTCTGGAAGGATCTCGACTCTCCTAGTTCTGCTACTCGACACTAGAGGGCGCTAGTGTGACTAGTGTTGCCATGTACAAGACATTAATAGTGGCGCGCAATACTTTCATTTACTCGACACTAGGGGGCGCTAGTGTAACTAGTGTTGCCATGTACAAGACATTAATAGTGGCGCGTAACACTGCCCCCTCCTAAGACATGCTCGTCCCGAGCATTATTGGCCCCATAATAACGCGCCAGTCGATCCACATGGACAATCTTAGGAGTACCTCTGGCACCTTTCTGTATCCGGTAGGTTACATCATTGATCCTTGTCACAATCCGGTACGGTCCGTCCCATTTAGCTTGAAGCTTAGGAGATTTCCCTTTGCTGCGAACTGGATTGTGTAACCACACTAGTGAACCTTCATCAAAGCCCTTGTTGTTCATTTTGCGGTCATACCGTGTTTTCATCTTCTCAGACGTTTGCTGGCCCGTCTGTCTGACGTGCTCATAAATGTCATTCATTTTGTTCCGCAAGTCATTTGCATAATCGGTTATACTGCGTGGGGCATCAGGTGGTATTCCGGTGATCAGGTCTGCAGGCAGCCGCAATTCTCTCCCAAAGTTTGCGAAAGCTGGTGTCACTGATGTACTTTCGTGAACAGCGCTTCGATATGACAACAAAAACGGTTGTATGTGCCTGTCCCAGTCTCGTTGCCGTTTTTCCACAACTTTTGCTAGGTACCTCTCCAATGTCTGATTAAATCTTTCTACCATTCCATCAGATTGTGGGTGGTAAGAAGTTGTTCGTGTTTTCTGAGTACCCATAACTCGGCAAGTTTCCTGGAATATTTGAGACTCAAAATTCCTTCCTTGATCGCTGTGAATTTCTAAAGGTACTCCAAAACGACAGAAGACTTCATGAACTAGTTTATCTGCAACTGTTGAAGCTTCTTGATTTGGAATGGCGAAGACTTCTGGCCACTTAGTGAAGTAATCCATCACTACCATGAAATACTTGTTACCACTTTCAGTTTCTGGAAACGGCCCCGCAACGTCAATGGCTATCCTCTCCCATGGTGCACCAACATTGTACAATTTCAATGCGCCTCTACTACGAATTTGAGGTCCCTTTACAGCCGCACAACTTGTACATTTGCGGCACCAGTCCTCGACATCGTCACGACAGTGGACCCAGTAAAACCGTTCTCGGATCTTCAGGAGAGTTCGTTTAACTCCCAGGTGGCCTCCTGAACAACCACTATGGTACAGCTGTAGAATATCCGGCACTTTAGCCTTAGGGACAACCATTTGCAAATGACACCTGTCTCCCCGACCATTTTCCCATTTACGGCACAGGACTCCATCCTGAATCAGCAAGCTGTCCCATTGGGCCCAATAGCTTTTCGTGGTCGAACTCATTGCTGAGACGTCGCTCCACTTGGGCTTAGGAGCACTGGCCTTCATCCATTCCAGAATCGGCTTAATGTCCGAATCTTCCTGCTGTGCATGTTGTAGGCTGTCCTTCCACTCATTGCTGAGCTGGTCTGTCCTGAGCATTCTCACAGATACCACTTCCTTACCCTCCTGCCTAGTACAATGCTTGCAATCTTCAGGGCAAGGTCTTCTTGACAATGCATCTGCATTGCCATGAGATTTCCCGCTGCGATGTTCGATCACAAAGTCGTATTCCTGCAGTAGTTCTATCCATCTCGCAACTTGTCCTTCCGGATTTTTGAACTGCAATAGCCATTTCAGTGCAGCATGGTCAGTTCGTAAGTGGAATTTCCGCCCTAGAAGATATTTGCTAAAATGCTGCAAGGACTTTACCACAGCAAGCAATTCCCGTCTTGTGACACAATAGTTCCTTTCCGGCTTTGACAACGACTTGCTGAAGTACGCTATCACAATCTCTTGATCACCATTCCGTTGAGACAACACACCGCCAAGTCCTATATCACTTGCGTCTGTGTCAACTATGAATTCCTTGCCCGCATCAGGGTACCCCAAAATAGGTGTTTTGCACAGGCGGTTCTTGAGCTCCTGGAATGCAATATCGCAACTTTCATCCCAGCAGAATTGTCGCTTCTCCTCGGTTAGCTTGTGCAGAGGTTTGGCTATATCTGCAAAGTTCTTCACAAATCGCCGATAATAAGAGCACAAACCCAAAAATGCTCTAACCTGTGTCTTGTCTTTTGGGACCGGCCACTCCTTGACAGCAGCAATTTTCTCTGGATCCGTGCGGATACCTTCTTCCGACACTACATACCCCAAAAAACTAACTTGCCGTTTGAATAGTGAGCACTTCTTTGGACTCAACTTGAGGTTGGCACTCTGGATCTTCATGAGCACGCGTTCCAGGTTTTGAAGGTGTTCCTCAAACGTACGGCCTACGATGATGATGTCATCCAAATAGACCAGACAAGCATCTCCAATTAGCCCGGTAAGTACAAGCTCCATCAACCTTTCAAACGTTGCTGGAGCATTGCACAATCCAAACGGCATGACTTTGAATTGCCACAGACCCTTTCCTGTGGAGAATGCAGTTTTCTCCTTGTCCTTAGGGTCAATTTCAACCTGCCAGTAGCCACTTTTCAGATCTAGCGTACTAAACCACTTTACGCCTGTAAGCATATCCAGCGTGTCATCAATTCTTGGCAAGGGATAGCTGTCCTTCTTTGTAATGTCGTTCAGGCGGCGATAGTCAACACAAAACCGCATGCTGCCGTCCTTCTTCTTTACCAGCACCACAGGTGAACACCATGGACTAGATGAAGGTTCAATAACACCATCCTTCACCATTCCCTCAATCATGGTTTCCACTTCCTTTTCACGTGCTACAGGCAATCTTCTTGGCCGCTGACGAATAGGCAATTCTTGTCCTGTGTTTATTTTGTGTTGAACTAAGCCAGTCTTTCCTATGTCAGCTTCGTTTGACGAGAAAACATTGGCGTACTTGAGTAACAACTTCTTCGCCTTGACCATTTCATTCGGGGAAAGAACGCTGCGACAGTCTTCCAAAAGTGTGGTCACTATCGTTTGTCCATCCTTGCTGGGGGTCCCGGTCGATAGATATTCGCATCGACGCAACCAATCCACTTCCTCACTAGTACCAACCAATGTGCCTTTTTCTATAATCTGTTCCTGATCACAAAGGTTCAACACACGTACTCCTGAGATGTCGGTGGTTCTGACCAAGGTTCGAGCCACTTTCCATGGAAGGTCATTGTCTACCCTTTCCACGAGTACACAACGATGGGCTTGCCCAGGACTCCGAGGAAGACTAACCGGCACAATCGTTTCCGATCTCGGCGGAAGAACAATCTTCTTAAGGCTGTACACATTCCCTGGTAACGCCCCTTCCACGAAAAGTTCTTCTTGTCCACATTTCAAAACACCTTGCTTAACGTCGATCTCACAACAATTCTTCCTCATAAAGTCTAGGCCCAGGATGCAGTCGTCCATTATATCAGCCACGATGACATTATGCAGGTAGATCATGTTGCCTAGCTTCAACTCCATCTCCTTCTCTCCACGGACGGGTATGCGCTGACCGGTGGCTGTCACCAAATTAATGCGTTCTCGGTTGTATGCGGAGTCCCCAAGGAACCGACTTATAAGTTGGGAACTGACAACCGTGCGAGAGGCTCCAGTGTCTATGGTCAGTTTACACGGCGTTCCGTTGACTTCGCCCTTGATGATTAGGCTGTTCCCATCATGGGTTTGTGAGATCGAAATCCTTGGGGCTCTTTTAACATCAGCCAGCACCCGCCCCGCAGTCCTGGCTTTTACTCGTTTCCCTGCTGCTGCTGGGCGGTGCTATTATCCGCACTACCCTCTCGAGATCGATCACCTTCCCTTTCTACAGTTCGTTTAGGGCAGCTGGATCGAAGATGGCCCCTTTCCCCACAGCCGTAGCACCTAGGGTTATAGCCCTTATTGCGGTCCTGAACTGTAGCTGCTGCAACCCCCCTGACGCGGTGGGAACGATGATCCTGCCGCACGGCTTCCACCTCCAGTGCGTGGGTCAGGGCGTCCTTAAGCGTCTGGTGGTGCCCGAGCCTCACACCAGCTCTGACTTCAAGGTCGCGGATGCCGTCGATGAAAGTCTGCACCAGGTTCCCTACAATGAGCACAGGTACAGACTGGTACGCTTTTCGAACCAGCTTCTCCACCTCAAGGGCCCACTGCTGCAGGTTTTCGTTACTGCGTTGCACGCGATCTTTGAGCTGCGCACGAAAGACGTGTTCCAGGTGAGCATCGCCATATCTCGCCTCCAATGCCTCAAGGAGCTGCTCGTAAGTCACTTCCTTACCGAGCGCTTCCAAAACAGTTAAGGCCTGGTCGCGTAGGCCTAGGGTGAGAGCAGTCATGGCCTGACTTTTATTCCAGCCGTTCGCTTTCATGACAGCCTCGAACTGGATTTTGTAGGCCGACCAGGAAGAACTCCCGTCGAACGGCGGCACTTTGAATCCACGTAGCGAAGGTGTTGTAGCTACCACGGGAGCTGTGATTCCATCCCCAAGTTTGAGGTCGTCCAGCGTTTTCTTCACATCAGCCATCACGTTGTCAACCCGATTGTTCACTTGGTCGATTCGGGTTTCAGCTTCCGACAGGCGGTTGTCATGTTGAGCAACCCTATCCTTCACCTCCTTTATCTCTTTCCCGAAGGTAGCGTGAAGGTCCTTTCTGAGGAGCATCTGTTCTTCCATACCGCGCTGCAGCTGCTCTTCCAGCCGACGGGTCTGTTCCTCCTGTCGGCGGGCCTGTTCCTCCTGTCGGCGAGCCTGATCCTGCAGCATCATCATCAGAGCACCCAAGTCAGGTGCTGCAGATGCAGGAGCTGCTGACGGGCCAGCCTCCGTGGTTAGCAACTGGCCCTCCGACGTTTGCGGCGTTGCATTACCAAATCGTCTCTGGTCCGTCTCCTGTTGGCGTTGACTTCGGGTACGGATACCCTCCGTGTCGTCTTTAGGTAAAATCGGCATATTTGATCCCACTTCTGACACCAATTGTTACGAGCTTGGGGTTCAAGACAATTAAAAACTGCCGATTAAATTACCAAAATTGACACTTTAATTACGCAACACTAATTACAATCTAAAATCACACTAATAATAAAACACAGTTCGCCGTTATTTCGCTTCGAAGTATTCTCTTGTATCGCCAATTCAATACTGCCCCGGTCGTGGTCTTTACCGGTCTTATATAGGGCCTCAGGTAGTTTCCAGAACCTTCTACTGTAGCGACATCTAGAATGTTCGAGTACATATCGGTCCCGAAATTTCTGGAAGGATCTCGACTCTCCTAGTTCTGCTACTCGACACTAGAGGGCGCTAGTGTGACTAGTGTTGCCATGTACAAGACATTAATAGTGGCGCGCAATACTTTCATTTACTCGACACTAGGGGGCGCTAGTGTAACTAATGTTGCCATGTACAAGACATTAATAGTGGCGCGTAACAATATTGAGGAATCTATGGATGGTAATAACCCCTCCGAATGAAGTGATCGCTACCAACCTATTTCTAATTTGTTTTGTGTTGTTAATTGTGTAACATACATGATTATAAGCTGTTATTTAAAAAAAAGTCAGTCAGTGATAATTAAATAAAAGAATGACTTTCAATAAGTATTATGTATAATCTATATTGAATAAAAAGTTTCTGTTTCTGTTACCTACGTTTCAGTTTCTAATTATTACATAGATGCATGCACCCAAACACATTAGTTTTATAAAAAATTTTGTATATCAGACAGTACTTCATCAACGCTTGTACATTTATCTTAGATATTTATTATACAAGATCTGTCTATCATCATGTTTAAGAAATTTTATAAAAATCTTTTAAAGCGATTATAATATTAATAAATAATAGATAACATAATTATACAGCGGTTTATATTAATTCCTGGAAATAAATATTATCGTTTATAATTTACAGCAGCCACTTACGGTTGCGGCTGCTAAGGGAGGGTTGAAGTGGAAGGTGACGAAGACTTTTTTCTATATTACTTTTATTCTCTAACTTACAAGTTAACTTAACTACTGTGACAATGTGAATACACAGGAATAATGGACTACAAACTAACTTACAAATTAACTAATTTGACAATGTGTGTTTACAATAATACTACCTAACTTACAAACTTAATTACTACTGGGCTGTCTTAAGAATTAGAATATTCTTAAGTCGCGTAAAAGATGTGTTATTATTTACTTAGCGGGCGGTGTTCTAATGTAGGTGATTTCCTGATGGCACTATGTTGAATATTCTTAAGTCACGTAACTGAATTGAGTCACGGCATGCTGTTATTTGCTTTAGCAGGCGGTGCTGTATGGTAGGTGACTTCCTGGTGCCATATAAGATATCGGTAGACATATGTAACTCCTCTACCCTCAGCGCGGCGACTATTGAAGCACATTCAGCGAAAATGTCGCCGGGACGTCTTCGTAATAGCTTGGTAGTCATATGTAACTAGCCTTTTCTTCGTTTATTTGAGCCATACTTTACGTAAACAAAGAGGTAGAAGCGATTGTTAAACAAGGACACAACTAAAGTAAAACTTTGACCACATCGCTTCTAGAGACGGGTACATGGTCACAAATCATCATTATCATCATCACCATTATCTTTTATACAGCTCGTGGCCTGCTAGCCGCTAGGTCTAAGTCCAAAATGCTAAGGACACTTACATCTCAGGACATAAACGACTGGCTGGCTACATATTTCGCAAAGTGGACTTTTAAAGATATGTTCATGAATCATTGTGATCATCATCATTAGCCCTTATAGCTTTCACTGCTGAAATGTGGACAAATTTTTATCAAATCCCGTTTCTGATGTCGAAGAAAAGTCGTCACCGTTAATGCCATTATTATTCACAGGTCGTGTGGGCGACATGTTAGGTAAATTAAAGCACAAATTATTAACAAACGTGAAACGTAAGAGTAAGTAAAGAGTGAAAACTTCACATAAAAATAACATTAACTAAATTTTATTACATTAATGAGTTGCAATGGCATACGGTTTGATGAGATCAGAGCTTATATTATTATCACTGTGTAGAAATTAATTTGTTGTTGTGGCTCAAGTTTCATTTATGGGCCGACTAGACTCACGGCGTAAAGCTGAGATTGAAATTTTGACATAAATAATAGCATAATACTCACACTTCACAAATTCGGAAATATTGCCTTGTACATGTACATCTTAATTATCCATTGTTATAAACGGTTTTATTATGATTTGTACACAACGCAACAATCTATATGAACTTACCACTTTTAGCTTCAGAGTGAGATGCGTCTAAGTCTTCGAACATTTCGGTCTTCTCAAGTCGGGTGGAAGTAGAAGCCTCAGCACATTTGCGACATATGCCACAAACGGTACAGCCGCTATCTCCCTCACCGCAACCGCATGTCCTAAGCCACAGCTCATAGTTACAAGTATGATAATGTAGTACTAATAAAACTAAGTAGGCGTTGCACTTAGTTTAATACTATATATAAGTATAGAAGAAAATTATTGAAATTGACACTAATCTTCTTGTAAGCTAATTTGATCATTAACCTATCGGTTGAAAATATGCCAACAGATCCACAGGCATAGTTTCTAGCATTATTGTTGAACGTAATGCCGATATTTTTGCACTAGTGATTAGGTGGTAGGACTGCTTAGTTAGGAGTCCGTATTTGGCAGAAGAAATATGGTAGGTACTTATTTCTGCGCTATTAGGTGCTGCACCCTTCAGTTTGAGGGTTATAGACAGTCAGTACAATTACACACTATGAGGCATTCTACCTTGATCCTCAGAGAAGAACAAAGAAAGCTACAGATGCATTGTAGCTTCCTTTGTTTAAAGTTTGTACCAGGTGTCCATGGACTGCAGTAACTACTTATCATCAGGTTGCCTGTAAATTAGTTTGTGGTCTTTGTCACTTAAGTTTTATAAAAAATGAAAATCACAGATCTGGCTCATATCTTTATGTTATTTACCGTTTTTTTTTTTAATTTATGTATAATTTTTTTACTCGACAAACTCAAGCTTCGAAACGAGTTTGCTGTTATCCTTCAATAAGTTAAGTACCATTTTCCGATCTCCTTTATTTTTCTAATTTGATGCAAATAAATCAATATCTTTTTGTCATTTAGATTGAAAGCGGCTGCAACTCTGACGTTGTTTGAGATAAATCTGCTTCCACTATAGGTTTCCATTCGACATTATGGACTTTAGCCACATTGATCGCAATCGTATCGTTAATATTACGCGCAGTCTTAATTGGTGTCACGCCAGAATCACCATTTTCGAAAATAGTGCGATTTTACAATTTTTAATGACTACAAAACATATGAAAAACAGATTCTTTTAAAAGTATTGTCATAACCGTTCATGCTGTAATAAGGCATGTCATTTTAATATGACAAGATCTTCATGTAATACGCAATACTATGTATTCGACATAATTGGAAACTACTTACTCTCCTGGCACGCGGTTTGGCATCGCAGCGCAGCGGCAGTTAGCAGCAAAGCCAGTACATTGTCGACAAACTGTGCATATACGACAGTAGTCCGTGAGCCACTTATGAGCACCTTCACACACACGTACGTCATCTTTGTTTGTACGACGTGGACACATCCCTGCAAGTTCATCATAGGTTAGGGGACAGTGCGATGATATGACACAAAGGGAGGAAACGCGATTTAAACCACCGTGACGGGACGTGACAAGACAAACATGTGAAATGCATACATTTGAAAAAAACTCGCAACTTTTTTAATAAAAAATAATGATTTTGTTCATACGTCATTTACAATAATTCAACGGGTCTCATATCGAAGCTCTAAAACAATCCGTCAATATTTGAAAAAAGGAAAATATAATTAACGGGCTGGAAAGGGCGGCTGATAAAGCTTGTACTGTCAGCATACACACTAAGAAAAAACGAAAACAACGCTAATAACGTTATATCGTTATATTGCAAATAAAGCTATAAAAATGATATGTAAATAAATTTGTATCTCGTACATATAAAAAATTTAACCTAAAATATTGTTAATTAGATATCTTTCACTTTAAATACAATAGTTACAAATAATATTGTGCAACTTAATTTATGATTAATTATAAATACCATTTAGTTATTTTTCTTCTTATATATTTTTTATTTTTTATACAACATAATATTGCTTGCCACCAGCATTTAATGTGTATTAGATATCTGTGGAAACTTTATTGGTTTTAGGATTACTTTATGTTTTATAATGTAATTTATTATTGTACTGTATGTTTCCCTTAAAAATCAAATAAATAAATAAATAATATATAAATAAAACACTATGTTGGTGTTTTTGTAAATTGGAGGTGGGAGTTAAATCAATTTACAATAAATTGAGTAATGTAATCATACAGACCACTAAATAATACAATTTAATACTAAAAATAAAAGTATATTGAACGGTTCCGTTCTTTTAAAACGTGGTTTAAGTTAAAAACAATAAAAGGCAGAAGAAGTTTATTGCAATGAATAACGTCATCTTTTTGTTATCGATACCGGTGGGTTTGAGCATAAATAGACATAGTGTGCAACACTATGTCTGTTAAGAGGCCAATAGAGGCGACGCCATTTATAACCCCATTCTTTATCCTTTTTATATATAAATGTTATTATATCAAAATTATTATATATAAATCGTATATTGTAATTAATAGCATTCAAATAATTTTTAATTAAAGAGGGGAAGAACGACATTTTACGACAAAATACGACATCAAACAAGAGTGTACGCCTAGATGTTGCCAGTGATATAATATATCACATATATCACAATATATCCATATTATGGATGTAAGATCTGATCCTTCACTGGTACCTGTATTAGAAATCTTAAGGTCGCTCAGCGAGCTATAGAGATGGCTATGCTCGGATTTTTTCTACGCGATAGAATCCGTCGAATCCGTTTGGGAGGGGCATATGTTCAACAGTGAACTTGTGATAGTCCGTGATGAGGATAAAATACTGGCTACCGTTAGGAAATATATGTAAACCTAGTTAATATAATTATAACCAATGGTAATTAAACAAAAGAATGATTTTCAATAAGTATTATTAATATAATAAATAAAGTTTCTGTTTCTGTTTCTATAGTCAAATTATACTCACTCTCCTTAGTGTAACCAAACTCTCGGCCGCATTGACTCTTGTTGTTAATACCGAAAGTATATACTTGACCAAGATTTGTCAAAGCCACAGCATGAGCTTTACCTAAAGCAACCTGTAATTAATAGGTTATAAATTTATTAAGTTTCAATTTTCATTTTGATTAACAATAATCGTTATTTTAGCATTTAAACATAGGTCACAATTTTGCAAAATGAAATGCTGTAAAATAATTTAACTACCGAATAGATAGGACATACATGAAATAGAATTTTACTACCCCGTCATATTCAGGGCATAATTTCTAAAAAGCATTTTCTTAGATATTGATATAAAAAAACAGCAAATAAAATTGAGCCCGAACGATAGATTAGGTTCTACTTTGATTTTTTTGTGAAGAATGTAGAAATATGCGTGGCCTGACAAGCATAACGATACGGCGTTGAACTTAATTGCTTCCATCTCAAATTATAACAGCAAGATTATATTAACAATCAAAGTATATAAGATAATAATTAGAGCTCTACAAGTGTTAACGCATGAATTGTCGTAGGCCAAAAGATTTCTTTTTATATAAGATGGGCAAATGGGCGGCTCACGGGATGGTAAGTCCTATGCTATCGGTCCAAAAATTCACGAGTAGTAGCCGAATCCACAATAGCCGCAAGAAGAGGAAAACTCCTGGTAAATCGCATAACGGTGACAGCCAGGCACCATCTAGATGGTGTGGATGATAGTGCTAATTTTGGCCACATTGTGCGATTGTAGAATATAGCGGCAAGAATTAATACAAACAATTCCTTTGAGCATTCCCCGGGGATAGAAATGAAGTAGTTAGTAAAACCGCAAATTAGGGAAAGATGTGGCCAAGCAAGGAAATAATCTTAAATATTATATACCCAACATTATTCTACCTGAATCACTCTCTCATGTCTGAGTCCTGTGACAACTCCCGAGGAGTCGCAATGCTGCGTGTCCTTCCCGAACATAAACAGTAATCCTTGTCTTGTGACCAGGGCAGTGGAGCCGTAGTTACAGGCCGCGTACACCACGAAGTGACCGTCGATCTGATATATCATTCTACGCGTTATTATATGTTTCAAAAGCTGATTTAGTTTAACGTTAGTTGCCGAAGATGCCTGTGGCTATTATGGACATAAATTATTGAGGATAATACTCGCACATTTGATAAAAAAAAAACAGTTTCGTATTGTGCCATCTTCATCTGCCACTGTCAATTAATGATTAATTGACGGACGAGGTAAGTCAGCATATTGATAGGGGAAAACAAACCAAACAAAAGTAAACCCAAAGGAGACAATCGTTTTTGGGCCCACTGGAAACTTTAACGTGACTTAATTTTATTACACATAAAAAAGATACCAAGTTATTATAGCAAACGACCTAAGGATTTTATGAAAATGTAACCGGAATCGTAAAATTAAAAAAAAATCTTTTGATATTCGTGAATTGGCTAATGTAATATAAGTGCATATAAACAAGAACGAACAACTAAAAAAAATTTCCATCAACCTTAACCTATAAATGCTGAATGTATCTATAACTTTCTTTTATACTATTATTTTTATATTATTGACTAGTGCACTATTTTAACTTATAATACCGGTGAAAACTACTAGACAATCGCTTTTAGTTTGTTTTTAAGTTATTGTGATATTCATATTTTAATTACTAATTTCTCAGTATTCCCATTAGATACGGTAAAACTAATATTAATATTGTAATCTATTGGTTACAAGGAATAAATCGACATGTGTTTCATTTAGTTAGGCCTGGTTACGGTGGTGGTGGGCCCATTCTCAAAACAAAAAGAAATTGTCTCCTTTCACAGTTTACTGATGGGGAGCAACACTAACACACTGAGCGTATCGATTCCGGGCTCTGCAACAACCCAAAAAAGGCCAAATTGCGGTTTTTTGACAGGCTTATGTACAAAATAATTATAATTCAAAATAGCGTCCATTTTTACCAAGTTTCTAGTCCTCAACTATAATTTTCAGTTTCAAATCTTTAACTCATCGAGATCTTAGTTTTAAATCGATTGCTAAATTTGTACTGAACATACAAACAAACAAACAGGCAGACAGAAAAGACAAACACACGATGTTGCACAATTAACCATAGATTCCATAGATTCCTTAATATTATAATAAACCTTATTTTACAATCTTTGTTTACTAAAGTTTTTAAATTTGCCGGCAATTGGAATTAGGGTTACCTTAAAGACTGTTAATGTGATGGTACTTATTACAGACCTTAGTAATTTTCCTAGGACGCGTGGGTTTTGGGTTGCGACGATGTTTGTTGCTGTCACCGTCTTCACCGCGTCGCGCGATTCCAGTGAATAGTGCACTTCCATTATCCAGCACTAAAATGGCATGAACGCCCTCGTGGCCTACCGCTACCTGTGAAATTAACAAATACAACAAATTAGCTAAATAAAAAAGTTGCAAATCTAGAAAATATGTCATATTTTTATTTACATAATTCACCACCATGCAAAATCAGTTTAAACACAATAAAGTTATGGGGTGTAAATTTAAAATTTTAGTACAACTTAGTAGGTGGTAGGGTTCTTTTTATATAATTCACAGGGCTACAATTCTGCCTAGGAAGACTCTTACCTATTTTCTGAATAGCAGTACTTGCACCGTTATCATCTAGTCTAAAGAGTATAGAGAGAGAGAGCCATTATAATTGTAGACTGTGAGGCATTCCATATTAGTCCCTACAAGTGACAACGCATCTGTAGCCTTCTTTGAAGTTAGCTGCAGGTGTCAATGGACTGCAGTAGCCAGTTACCAAGAGGTGCATCTTAAGTTCCTGTCATTTTAATTTAATTAAAAAAATACAACGGATTATTTTCGGCTCACCTGAATAACTTTGCACTTCTTTACGTTTGGCTCATTCCTGTTAAATAAAGTTTCTTTCATGAGAGTCCACCGCCCAGTATGCGGAGATGCCACCTTATAACCGAGGCTGGTTCCCTTGCCGGTATAATAAACCTGGAAATTCATAATTTACATTACTTATCAATATTGTTATGATATCCACACCAACCTTTTATACTCTTTCAGTTCAATGAGGTACACAAAGTAACAGCATTTATTTATGCAGAATAGGCACATACTGACCTAATACAGTTTTTACTAATTTAGTCCAGATTCAAGAATTTGTTTTTTGATAAGGCAGCAATAAACTTGATAATAATTGAAAAAAAAAATCCTTTCAATCAGGAATATTAATTAAAAAAGTACCAGTGATAAAAATCTCCAAAATTAATTATAATTTTATTCAATGTAAAAATCTTTTATAACAAATTAAAATCTCCCTCTTACTTTTCCGGTGGCAGTAGTGAGTAGCCCAAAATCTTGACCAGCACATATGCTCATTAGAGGATCCTCGTCGTTATCATCGAATTGCATCGCAATCGGTGTATCTAGCTCTGTAGACCTTCTAGACATGCCATCTTCAAATGGAGCTCGCCCCAAAGCCAAAGTCTTTCGCCTTAGTAGATGCACGTTCAGATCTTTACGAGATGACAGCGTAATGGGAGTGTTTTCCACGCGTTCAGGTAGAGAGGTCATATCATACATTTTTATTGAGAGATTGTCCTGCAATAAAATATAGTACAAATAATGTATTTTTGTAATTTAGTCCTGTATTATAAACGGATTAGTTTTATATGATCCCTCGTTTTATTGTTATAATTAAAAAGCTGGCGTATCATAGTATAAAAAGCTTCAGATTTCTGTTGATGATTCTGAAAACAATTTTCAATTACAAAGGAAATTTCTGTTTTTAATGATGAGGAAATATTAACACAAACTAAAACATTATATTTGTATTATATTTTATTTGTATATATTGTCTTTATGCGGGTTTCTAAAACATTAAACTTGGATACTGATCTTTTTGACATCTACAATTCAAATTACAAAAGAAATTAGAAGATAATTGAATAGATGAGAACATTGTTATTAATTTTTATTATATAATTTGAATCAACTGGCTGCCACTTTGGCTGGCACAGGCTTCCTCTCATTTCTGAGAGGGTTATAGGGCAAGGAAATGTTCGCCGCGCTGCCCCAATCCGTGTTGGCGAACTTCACATGTCTTCGAAATATTTTTTTTCTTATTTTTCGGACATGCAGGTTTCCTCACGATGTTTTCCATCAGCGCCGAGCACGTGGTAAATCAGCACTTAAAATTACAATTAACAGTTTCATTGGTGCCGGCGGGGATCGAACCCGGGTTGCTCGCGTACTGTGAAGCTTGCAGCTTACGCTAACCATCTGAGCTACCACGGCTCTTTTTGTTAAGTTAATATAATTTAGAAAACAAAATCAAGATCACTGAAGCAGTTGCAACAGTACTCTTCAAATTAAGGGGATGTTATCCCAGACCTGTAATCAATTACATATATCGCTTCCCCAGCCCACACCATTTAGCACGACGCTTTTATTCACGATGTGGCGCGAACCATAGGTACTCTATGCGCACTCCTTGCGCTAAATACACGCCATAGTATAAATATTTGCAGTAGGACAACTGAATTGAATCTGCATCTGCCCAGATGGGTCTTCAAAAAAGAAAAAAGTCAGGAGATCCTAACCTTTTTCCGTGTGTCACCTTTTACGACACCCACGAGATGATATTAAAGTAATGGTTATTTTTGCTGCCCGGTTGATCATCATCATCATCATCATTACAGCCCTTCATAAGTCCACTGCTGAACATAGGCCTCCCCCAAGGAATGCCACAAAGCACGGTCCTGAGCCACCTGCATCCATCGACTTCCTGCATATCTTACCAGGTTGTCACTCCATCTAGTGGGGGGACGCCCTACACTTCACCTGCAGATACGAGGCTGCCACTCGAGAACTTTTTTCCCCATCGGTTGTCGGTTCTTCGAGCTATATGGCCGGCCCACTACCACTTCAGCTTACTAATCCGTTGGGCTATGTCGGTCACTCTGGTTCTACTGCGGATATCCTCATTTCTAAGTTTATCACGCAGAGAAACTCCGTGCATAGCCCTCTCCATAGCTCGCTGAGCGACCTTAAGCTTTCTCATCCGGCCAGCAGTGAAGGACCACGTCTCAGTTCCATAGGTCATCTCTGGCAACACGTACTGGTTATACAGTCTTGTTTTCAAGTTTTGAGGTATACCTGACGAGAAGATGTGCCGTAATTTCCCGGACGCTGCCCAACCGAGTTGAATCCGTCGATTCACCTCCCGGTCGAAGTTGGACTTTCCTAGTCGGACTATTTGTCCCAGGTAAACATACTCGTCAACAACTACGAGCTTAGTGCTCCCAACAACTACCGGCATAGGTGTGACATGGACATTAAACATGATCTTTGTTTTGTCCATGTTCATCTTAAGACCTATCCGTTGGGAAACACTATTGAGGTTATTGAGCATAGTGCTTAGGTCCTCCAGCGATTCTGCCACAAGGATTATATCGTCGGCAAATCTAAGGTGAGTGATGTATTCGCCATTGATGTTGATCAACACTTCGATATACCGACAGTCAACTTGGAAGGAAGCTGAAGGAACTGCAGCACCGACCAAATTTCGACGGAAGGAAAGGCTTTCTCATAGTCCACATACGCCAGACATAGTGGCAAATTGTACTCCTCGGACTTCTGTACAATTTGCCGAAGGGTATGTATGTGGTCTATGGTGCTAAAGCCTTTTCGGAAACCGGCTTGTTCGGGAGGCTGGAAGTCGTCAAGTCTGCGCGCGAGACGTTTCGTAATGACTCTCGAAAACAGCACGTAGACGCGGCTCAGGAGGGAAATCGGTCTGTAGTTCTTCAAGAGAGCGTTGTCGCCTTTCTTGAAGACCAAGACCACCGCACTTCTGCTCCACGTCTCCGGTGTAATGCCACTATGGAGGACTGAATTAAAGAGCCTCTGAAGGACTTCAAGTACCGGTTTTCCACCCGCTTTCAGAAGCTCCGCCGTAATTCCATCCTCGCCTGGTCCTTGCCGTTTTTAAGGGGTTGGAGAACCATTCTAATCTCGCTCAGACTGACGTCCGGGATATCATCGGAATAATGTCGGATAAGACTCGCTCTTGTATCATTACTCACACTTGCGTGTGACTTCAACGATGATGTGTACAGCTGCACATAGAACCTCTCAATCTCACTCAAAATCTCAGGTGTCCCGGAAATGACGCTGCCGCACTCGGTCTTCAGCTTCGACAGTTAGCACTTTCTGGCAGACAGATCTCTAGCAGACTTTGGAGCCCTGGTTCCGCTCGATCGCTTCTTCAATACGAGCAGTATTAAAGTTGCGTAAGTCCCGCCGCATGCATTTGGAAATCTGTCTGTTCAGTTGCCTGTATGCTGTTAAATCTACTGAAGACTGCAGCTTCATATTCCGTCTAACAGCCATGAGATTAAGAGTGTGATCGGAGAGTTTTTGTGTTCTTATGCTGCGGGTCTTGCAAAACTTTGCTCCGACCGCATGGACAGTTTCCACGAGCTTGTCATTCATATCCTCCACTGCACCGCAATATTCTAGGCACTGAAAACGGTTTCGTAGCTCGAGCTGAAAGGTTTCGGGACTTTGGATTAGAGCACGAGGGGGACGGAGCGTTGACTTCATTAGACGTGACCTCTCCAACTTAACGTTTAGGTTCAGTGTGCCTCTCACCATTCGGTGATCGCTGTCGGTTTTCACCCTCACGATCACTGAGACATCAATGAACAGTTGTCGTCTGTCAAAAAATGAGATTGACTTCATTATGACGACCATAATGAAGTCAATCTCAATTTTTGTCGAACCGTCGGGGCTCGACCAGGTCCACTCCCTGTGGGGCCGCTTCTGGAAGAAAGAGTTCATCATAAAGAGTCCCTCTTTCTCCATGAAGTCGGCCAGCTGCTGGCCCGTTGGGTTTCGTTGCCCTATCCCGAATTTCCCTACTTTCAGCTCACCGTTCTCTCTTGTGCCTAGTTTTGCATTGAAGTACAGTGAGTTTTGGAGGAATGCATGGCTCTAAAAATATCCTCATACATTTCCTCCACCTCCTCATGGGGGTGTGCCGAGGTTGGTGCGTAAACCTGTATGACTTTCAGCGAATACCGTTTGGTGATTCTGAGTATAAGGTACGCAACCCTCGTCGACACACTCCCAATTTTTACAACGTTGTTAACGAGAGACTTGTGGACGATAAATCCGACACCTCCTTGGGACAGATTGTCGCCTTCCCGGTGATAGAACAAGTGCCGGATTCGAGGATACCCGTGTCCTCCCTCTCTCTTCGGAACTCGGATAATCCTATGATATTCCAGCGCAACTTTCTATCTCTTCTTCCAGCTCCAGAATCTTTTCGTCAGTCCTCAGGGTGCGTGCGTTATAAGTTGCCAGGTCGTTTCGTCGTAGGTGGCAACCGAACCTCGGAGATACTTAGCACCCCCTGCCCCGCCGTTACCATGGTCGCCACCGTAGCCAGGAATAGCGGGGCCGCCGGGGACTGGGGGCAGTCTCTTCATTACTCTCACGGGGGATATACTGCCATAGTTGCCACGCTTGTCGAGTGGATTGGCAACCGCAGTTTTTTTTTGTTGTTTTGCTATTATCAGAAAGATGCTGCTGCCCATCCTCTGCCTCAGTTTCCCTCTGTCGCCTCTTACGACACACACGGGAAGATATGTGGTAGTGAGTATTCTTTCCCGCCACTACACGGGGAGTTCACATGAATGTATTTGTAAATTTACTACTCACACTAATAAAAGAAAAAATTTAGATCATTCATAATAAAATTAAAATATATTAACATAAAAAATAACATTTGGCAAATTAGAGTAAATAAAAATTACGCTTGTTTCCTCGATGAACCATGTAACATCAATAGAGTATGGGTATTGGGTATGATATCAACAAATCAAAATGGACCAATGGCCAAGTGGACATGTGCAAGACGCGGGCGATTTATTGATTTGCTATAAGGCTCAAATTATATGGAACAAATTTCAAAGCGAGTTAGACACGGGTGCTGACGCACGTGACGTGCGCGTAGCAGGTGCGTGTCGTCGGAACGCGGCCTAATATATATATGTATATTTATTACCTATCTATTTGATAAATTATAATGACAAAACGGAGTTCTTACTATAATTGTTGCGGGGATGGATGCTTAATGAGCAATTAAAAGGATTCAAATATATAATTTTTTAAGTTACCGAAGGATAAAAGGTGAATTTATTTCATTTTTGTTGTTAGATAGGTACTTACAGCGAAAAAAGAATTAAGTATTAATTTAACTACAGAAGTAATAACTATGTAGTTTATATTTAACTATGTAGGTTATAATAGCACAAAATACTGAAATTAAAACTTTGTTTACAAGATTTTTAACTAAGTAGATTTTTTTTTTTAGGAGAAGGGGCAAACGAGCATGCGGCTTACGATATTACGATCACATTTCTGTTAGGAATCGTATTTCGGGTTTATTTGTTGTTTACACTATCTACCTATTTCTTACGAGCCAAACATCACCATTCCCGACGAAAGTTGCACGCGTTGGGCATCACAGAACTCACATAGTAGCGGAAATATGGTCGATTATAATGAGAATATTTGCTTTACCTAAGTAACTTACCATTTCACAATGTATTTTTTACTCTTTATTAACAGCCTTTAGTAAAGTCCGCGGTGGCGTAGGAAGGGGAAAAGATGCAAAGTAATACGGACACTCGCGCGCAGGGTTAAAGATTTATTTAGCTTGCATGCGCGATTTAGTTGATTAATATTAATTATGTAGGCTATTAAAACGTCGGCAAGCAGTCAACATCAAAGGAGTGCAACTTCTGTAGGTAGTACTATTATTTATTCTGTGGTCTAACCTATAACTATATCTTACGAGGGAGTTTTGGCGGGAACTTGACCGGCGACGGATTGCTACTCCTGTATTATTGTTTAAATAATGGTTTGAAGTGGATTTTGATATGTAAAAGTGGTGCGATTTTGTGTATTAAATGTCTACACATGTGAACTATTAGTGGAAACGGTGAAATAAGTGCTCTGATGGTGATGTGATTCTCAAGATAAGGTGTCTGTCTGCATAGGCGTCTTGAGATACCATCGCCAACTGTCAGCTGTCTGTTGGCTCAAGTTACCGTCAAAATCTCCCAAGGGCTGCACAATGTGACGCATCAACATATTGTGAAGCAGTGTATTATGAAGGATTATTATACATTGTAACTTCAGGCTCAGAAGGGCTAGATTGCAGAGCCGTAAAAGTGAGCAGTTATTAAGAACGAAAACAATATATCTTACGAGTAACAAACGAATGCAAGAAGAAGACACGGGTAATTTTACATACAAGGAAATAAGCAAATTTTTCTTTTCGTTCTTACATTGATGGGTGTCTTTCCACGTGAAATTTTTGCCTTTATTCCTATAAAATGCCTCTACAATACATGAGCAAATTCTAGCTTGGACCTAATGTCTTATAAAAACAAAAATATATTTATATCATTACATATTGTTTCAAAATTTTAAAGTAAGATGACCTATGATAAATAGAAAATTGTTGTAAAATGAATGTGGAATATTATTATTATATGTATAAGAACTTACATAAGCTGTAAGCAAAACGAGTCCAAGCTGGTTGCCATCGGTAAATACAGCTGATTTAGATTCCGTCGGGCCAGAATTTCCAGGATCTAGTTTTAGAACACCTTTTACTTCCAATGTTTCTCTGTCCACTTCATATACTTCCGGTTTTTTTCTTCCAATTCTTACGTACAATTTGTTCTATAATGTAATTTTTTTAATTAATTCAATGTGTAAAGAATAATTGTAACTGACACCCACACCAACTAAAATCTCTGTTATAATTTGAATGGTGTTTCAATCGTAATTGACTGATATTATTGCACGTGTAAAAGTTTTGCCAGTGACGACACGGAACTACTGGCCACATAATGACTCTTTACTGATGGTCACATAAGGGAGCTCAAAGTCACTCACCTGGCTATGGAGAACGCTGTGCTCAGAGTTTCCCTTTGTGATCAAATCACACCAGAAGAACAAGATTAATTGACCCAGAGAATCAGGATCCTGCTATTTTACAGTTAAAGAAGAAGGTCTATGTTCAGCAGTGGCCCTGTGACAGTATGTAATGATATAATGATGACGATGAAGGTGTTTGGGTGTTTGTTATTAAATCACAAACAAATTTTCCGCGAAAAATTAGCATGTAGGTGTTTTTGTTTCCACAATAAAGATAGTTAAATATTTTAAAATTAAATCAAATGCAAGGTAAATATGCCAAAAGCCATGTGAAAGCGGCGACTATGAAAAAGTTAAAAAGACCTTTCGGCAAGCAGATCCGCGATCGGCAAAAATTACTTGTTCAATGTAGCTTAGCATATAATTACCTTACAATATCCAAGCCATCCATGTCGATCGCCAGCGAAGAAATCAGGTTTGTATAGATAAACATGTTGTCTGATAGAACTGCCGTAACCCGATCCGATTTTTAATAAACCTTTTGAAGTGTACACGTAAAGAAAGCAACCATCTGATGCTAAAGAACGAACTACAAGCTCTCCAGGTCCTGAAGTCATTAGTGAAGGTAAGTCGACTGGAAAACTAGATACGAGGGACTGATGTGGCACTCCGAAGTTTATCCATTGGTTGCGCACCGAAGCCCCAAGTATTACTGATTGAACACTTCTTTGAAGAGTTGTCAAATTAGTAGGAATCTGTAATGGCACATTTTAATTTGTTTATTTTATTTTATACACAAAAAACTTGTACTAATGGCGGAGTTAATTACTTAAGGCATTTTCTCCTAGTCAACCATTTGGCTAAGCATATATATATATATATATATTTTTTATATATATATACATATATATATATATATATATGTATATATATATAAAAAAGGACACAAATACATAAATGACATACACATACATAAACATAAATACTTTTGTTGTTCCTTCCCTTCCACTCACAGACCTCCATATACTAATACCTAGTACGCTGGACTGGCTATACCCTACAAAACGATTGTGCCGATTTGAATCGGCGTCACTGAGTTTACCGGAAACTAAATGTGACATAATTTTCAAATGGCCGTTGTTTTGCTCAAAACATCTACGAGTATTTTAAAGTTTTAAACGTATAAAAGAGTTTGTGTTCTGTAGTTCGGTTATGTCTCATGTTAGTCAAATAATAAAATGTATTTTTAGCAACAAATATAAATTCGATACCAGAACGGAAGTATGGTATTATTCGACAAGGGGGTTTTCAATTTATATTCATCATCGTCATCATTACAGCCCTTCACAAGCCCACTGTTGAACATAGGCCTTCATCAAGAGATGCCACAAAGCACGATCCTGTATCCATCGAATTCCTTCATGTCTTACCAGGTCGTCATTCCACCTAGTGGGAGTCGCCACTCGATAACCTTTTTTCCCCATCGGTTGTCAGTTCTTAGAGGTATATGGCCGGCCTATTGCCACTTCAGCTTACTAATCCGTTGGGCTACGTCAGTTGCTCTGGTTCTACTGCGGATATCCTCATTTCTAAGTTATCACGCAGAGAAACCCCGAGCATTGCCCTTTACATAGCTCGCCGAGTGACCTTGAGATTCCTTATACGGCCAGCGGTGAAGGACCACGTCGCAGAACCATAAGTCAGCGGTGAATAGTTTCGGAGATATAACGTCACCCTGTCTTACACTCTCTGCCTTTGGATAGGTTTCGTACTCTGTTGTTGTACTGGGATAACCATCGTAGCCCTACTGTACAAGCACTTCAGCACTTTGATATGCCGACTGTCAACTTGGCACCGCTGAAGGGTACAGTACCGCCCAAATATCGACGGAATCAAAGGCTTTCTCATAGTCCAAATACGCAAGACAAATTAGCAGACTCTTCGGTCTTCAGTTCAATTTGCCTGTATGTGGTATACGGTGCTAAAGTCTTTTCGGAAACCGGCTTGTTCGGGAGGCTGGAAGTCGTCGAGTCTGCGTGAGAGATAGCGTCCCGAAAACAGCAGTAAACGCTGCTCAGAAGAGAAATCGGTCTTTAAGAGAGAGTTTTGGCCAAATTTCGCTCCGCTCCGCTGTAATTCCATCCTCACTCGAGGACTTGCCGTTTTAAGGTGCTGGAGAGCCACTCTAATCTCGCTGACTGACGTCCGGAATATCATCGGAATAGTGTCGGATAAGACTTGCTCTTGTATCGTTACTCACACTTGCGTGTGACTTCAACGATAATGTTCAAACTCAGGTGTCCCGGAAACGATACTGCCACTTTCGGTCTTCAGCTTCGACAGTTGGCTTTTTCTGGCAGACAGATCTCTGGCAAAAACTTTGGAGCCCTGGTTCCGCTCGATCGCTTTTTCAATACGAGCAGTATTGAAGTTGCGTAAGTCCCGCCGCATGCATTTGGAGATCTGTCTGTTCAGTTGCCTGTATGCTGTCAAATCTGTTGAAGACTACAGTTTCATTTCCCGTCTAACAGCCATGAGATTAAGAGTGTTATCGGAGAGTTTTTTGTTCTTCTGCGGCAGGTCTTGCAAAACTTAGCTCCAACCGCATAGACAGTTTACACGACATTGTCATTCATATCGTCCACTACATTACAATTTTCTAGGCACTGAAAACGATATTGTACCTCGAGCTGAAAGGTTTCGGGACTTTGGATTAGGCCACGAAGGAGTCCAAGCGTTGACTTCATTAAACGTAACCTTTCCAACTAAACGTTTATTTTCAGTGTGCCTCACTGCCTGTTTTCACCCTCCTCCTCCTCCATCCTCTGAATAGTGATGTCTCAGTGTTTCTCTTCATATCTTCGCGGGCGTCAGCAGTCCGTCCATTTGGGACAGAAGAGTTCCCAGTGGTCTAGGCCTGATGTTCGCGTCCCGCAAGGCGGTATACCTTCTCCATTAATTTTCTCAGTTTTTGTGAACTTGATCACATCCACTCTTAACTGTTCGTACCATCTGTATGCTGACGACGTCCAAATTTATTTGCCCTCATATATTGAAGATATAGAATGTTAAATCTGAAGTTGGAAGCTGTAAAAGATGGTCTAGGCGTTTTGCAATATTAGTCAATCCAACAAAGTGTCAAGCTATAATCGTAGGTATAGCTCGAGAATGTTGTCCAAAATTGATGTGGCAAGCCTACCTGTTGTCTATTACAGTGATATACTGATACCGTTCTCTTCCTCTGTGCAAAATCTTGGCATGTATATGGACAACACAATGGACTGGTGTAAGCATGTTACCGAAATTAGCCGCAGTCATTGCCACCTTACGATCCCTCTACTATCGTCTGAAGAACTTTCTTTCAATCAAGACTAAGCTAACACTTGTGCAAACACTTATAATGCCCATCATTGATTATGAAGATGTATGCTACCCAGATTTGTCCCAAAATCTTCTTAACAAGCTAGAGCGTGTATTAGATATATATTTGGTCTCCGAAAATATGATCACATCTCTCATTACCGTGAACGCCTGAAATGGCTCACTATCCGACAAAGTCGAAACTCTAGAATTCTCCTTGTTCTTTTCTCAATTTTGAATAATCCAACTTCTATAAAATATCTCAAGGGAAATTCCAGTATCTCTTTGCAACTCATGATAAGGTCCTTCGCTCCTCATCTAATCATAAGATTATATTAAGTAGAAGTATTCCATCTCATTTCACTAAATTCACCAACAATTCATTTACTATTCGGGCAACACTACTCCGGAACTTAACTTAAAAACATAACAAAAGCGCCAAGTAAGGACTGTTTTAAAAAGTTGGTACATGATTTTTTTTTAAACGAAGCGATGTTGGATGTTAAGAATGATGATGATATATTTTGATACATTTAGATGTTTTATTATTTGCAAACACATACATGTATATATATATATATATATATATATATATACCGAGAGTTATCACATTAAATGAAAAGACGTATCCTACATAAATTTCTTTAAACATACACAACTAAAAAAATATATAACAATTAATATTCTAGTTGCAGTAGCATTTTTTTTTTTTTTCGTTTACTATTAAATGTTTGGCTTTAAATTACGTTATATTCGAAAAACAATAAAATTTAATATGGTTGACGAGTTCCTTGTCGATAATACTTATCGATGTTTTCTTCTACCAAAAGATAATTATTAAATATTTATTAATATTTACAGGTTTTCAATTAACTATGTACCAAAAATGTGAGCAAAAGGCATAAAACTTGTGAATTGGCGTCCGAAGCAAATTGACTATAACGTTAATAATTTGTGGTATAGTATTCTTTAATGTAATTTAATGTTTGTAAAATTCTAATTGTATCTATAGATGTACAAATAATTATACATTTCATAAAATCAATACACATCATACATTCTTAAAATCAATAGTTTTAAAACTATTGATATTAAGAAAACTACATATCTGTGGGGGATTTCCGTTTAAGTTACTGCGTCTATAATAGATATAATCGCGCCTCATCTAGCTATTATTTTTAACACTAGTATTGAATATTGCAAGTTTCCTGATTTAATTAAGCATAGTAAAGTAATACCTTTATTCAAATCTGGTAGTACATTAGACCCCGCCAATTTTAGACCAATTTCTGTTCTGCCAATACTTTAGTACTGGCAGTACAGAATATAAGGTTACAGAAAAGGCAATTTAGGTAACAGAACGCAAAAAATGTCATTAATGGTATGAGGTCTTCCGGATCAATAGTAGAAATGGGCTTGCGTTAAGGCTCAATTCTTGGCCCCTTTCTGTTTCTTGTATATATTAATGACCAACCTTACATAGTAAGGAATAACCACAATATAGTATTATTTGCTGATGATACTTCATTAATTTTCAAATTAAAACGACAATTATTAAAATCTGACGAAGTAAATAATGTTGATAACTTGCATTTAAAAGGCACTAAAACGAAATGTATGAAATTCATGACTCCAAATGTCAAACAATTAATTACTAATGTAATTTTAAATGGGGAGGAACTGAGTCTTGTCGACACCACCATTTTTCTCGGAATAACACTAGACGCGATTCGTCAATGGTGCCCCCATATAGCAAAATTAGCAAGCAGACTTCGTTCTGCAGCATATGCTGTAAAAAAGTTTAGAAATCTTACCAGTGTGGAAACAGCTAGACTTGTTTACTTTAGCTATTTCCATAGCACATTGTCGTATAGTATTTTGCTATAGGGACACGCGACTGACACTGAAATTATATTTGTTTTACAGAAGAGGACCATAAGAGCAATCTAGGATTTAAAACCTAAGGAGTCGCTCCGACAAAAATTTAAGAAAATTAATATATTAACACTGGCTCCATACATTTATGAAAATGTAATGTACGTACACAAAAATAAAGGTAATTATACAAAAATAGGTGATGTTCATTCTGTAAATACTAGGAACAGACACAAGCTAGTAGTACCAGTTGCTCGACTCCACCGAGTCAGTAATTCATTCTTGGGGCGATGAATACGCTTTTACAACAAAATCCCAGAAAATATACAAAATTTAAACTGCTCAAAGTTCAAAAACTTAATTAAACAAAATTTTTTTTTAATATTAAGCAATTTATGGATAATAATAACCCCTGGGAAGGAGTTGATCGCTTTCTAATTTGTTTTTTGTGGTTAATTGTGATTACATGATAGTAAAATTTTATTTTTAAAAAAAAGTCCCGCTGGGTTTCTTGCTGGTTCTTCCCATGACAGAGGTTTTTTTTGAACCCGTGATAATGAAACAAAAGAGTGACTTTCAATGAGTATTATTTATAATCTATATTGAATAAAAAAGTTTCTGTTTCCAGATATAGTTGAAATAGGCATAATATTTTGGCAGCTTATTCATTTTGTCTATTACGAGGACTAAATTAATAGCTAACAATAAATTTTTACCAAATTATATTTTTTTATTTCATATATTTTTCCAGGTTTTCCTACTCAATGGAACTTTTTAAAACTCACGAATGAACTATACATAGAAAAACTTAGTTGTTTTATATAAGGTATAAAGCTTGTGTCTAAGACATAAGTATTAACTCATACATTTGTTTATTGTATGATATTATATTAAAATGATACATAAATAAAATGGTAGGTTTATGCTCATTTATAGGCTCATTATGTCACGGTGTATAGCCAGTTTAACTGAGGTGAATTAAATGCCGACTGAGTCCTAGGCTAGCCTTATCGGCGCCCCTCTGGTGGCCAAATATTATATATGTACTTATTTTGCAACAAACTATATTTTAGTTTAATACTTTAGTTGCAAAATAGATACAGGTAAGCGTGAATAGAAAATATGATGAGAGAGTGAGGACGATGTAGGAGTATAGAAAGTATAATTCTTTATATTATGTAAGTAGGTAGTTATGTAATTTATCTTTCGTTTAAAAACTTCCGCGCGCGCCCCTTGTAACCTTGCGCCCCTAGGCACGTGCCTAAATTGCTTTAAGGATAATCCGCCATTGCAGTCCAAAGTACTAGTATAATAGAGGTCAGTGTTTCCACTATAAAAGATTTTTGGTTATATTGGCTATTATATAATATGCCAGTTGTAAACAATTCTATGACAAGACAAAGTAATTAGTCAATATTTTCTTAGCTTAGCTGCATTTTACTGAAATTATTATGAATATTCGTCAAAAAATATCTTCTATTCTTCTTCTAACCGTCTTATATATACTATCTATATTGTTCATTAAGTTACATTATTTTATATATTTGTTTAGTAAATACCTGCATGTATTGTTCTGACAGTGTTGGGGATGTCATGATAAGTGAAGCAACCGCATTAAGTATCAGTTCTGCCTCGCCCCTAGCGACTGACAGCGATATGAGGCAAGAACTACTCAGGGCAGTGATACTGGTTGGTGTCTCAGTTTTTCCAGTGGGCCCGCTGCCACTAGCAATTTCAACGAGCATGGAGTGCAAGTTTGAAATCATCTGTAATTCATACATAAATGCAAAATGTTAAAAATCTTTAAGTAGTTTTTATATTGCTTTCATCACATTATAAAAAAAGTGATAATGGACTGAAAAATATACTGTCGAATAGACATAACAATACCCAACATTTTTAGAGGAGATTTCTGTAATAAACCTCTAAGCAATACCTCGTAAGGCTCATGAGCCATTTCTTCAGGCGTGTGTCCTTGCAGAACGTCTAGTAAAGCTTTAAGTGAATGCTCACAAAATGGCGCATCTGAGAATCTTGCTTGAGATATAAGAGAAAAAACCATGCGCAGACCGATGCCAGTAATCTGAAAACATTAACGAGTAAATCTTTTATAGTTACTGTTACTACAGTTACAGGCATAATATTATGTATTGAATAGAATATATGTAAAACTATATTACAAAAACTACTAGGGTTTATGTCTGGATTAGATTCGGGCAGATAAATGTGAAAAAAGTTAGTTTTTTTTTTTAATTTTTGTCAAACTCAAAGTAGTTTGTTTCATTAAAATACGCATTTTAGGGTCCCGTAGTTACACAACAAGGAACTCGTTTCGCCATGTCAGTCCGTCCGCGGTTTTGCTCAAGGACCCTAGGTGCTACAAATCTGTAATTTGGCACATTTATAGATATTTATCACGAAAACTGTGATATAAAATCTTAAAAAACATTTTTATTTTGAGTACTTTCCAGGTCTTTCAAAAACATTGCGGGTGTGGAACAACACCATTTCCATTCAGGAGACCGTTTGCGAAATATTTAGTTTTAAAGTGGTAGTTTTCATTAGTCATGTGCGGGGAGCACCCCCCCCCTTCTACCAACTAAACCGCTGTGTATATATATACAGGTTGTCCCAGTAATGGTGGATAATCTGGTACGTACGTATTCGGGCGGGGGAGATATGGCCTCAGTTCCCTAAAAAAAATTCTACCCCGAACGGATTTTTTTCTTTTAATGTGTGTACTAATAATGATGTTCCTAAATTACTTTCAAAAGTTTTCAACTAGTATGGGTAGTATTTTACAAGACGGCACTAAACATAAGTTTAAATTTTTTACTTTATTTATCTGCTAAGTTTGAGCACCTGTGGTGAAAAAAAAAATTGCGTGGCCAACCATTTAAAAAGTTTGCCTACATCATGAGGATTTTAAAACATTAGCATACTATGTACTTAATATCATTACTTACTGAGCTATAGCCGTTAATGTGTAAAAGTAGGCATTTCATTACAAAATTACAAAATCATTGGCAGATAGCTTTTTTTTTTACATTGCATGTCTTTATTAGGTAAAAGTACATCTTATCATCATCTACCCTTGAAAATATTACTTTATACTAACTGCTTGCCTTGTTTGAACGAATTCTAAGCTGTGTGAGCGAGACGAACAGTGAAACTTGACATGTTCTATTATGTACAGCTGTGAAAATGTGGTTTGTACTGTTTTCCATTTGTTAAGAATGCGTAAATTAATGAAAAGAACATGAGTTATATCAATTTTTTTTTTATTTAAAATCAATTAAAGAAAATGCTCTAACTGGCCTCCTCCGGCCATTATGCAGGCTCTACATCTTCTTACAAACGATCTTTCTAAAAGTCTTTGATAATTTTTGGTTGAAATAACCCTTAATGCTTCTGTGACGCGAAGTCTAAGTTCGTCGATTGTTTCAATTGTTTTTTTATAAACTTGTTCCTTCAGGCAGCCCCAATAAAAAAATCTAATGAGTTAAGATCAGGTGATCTTGTTAGCCACAATAACGGCCCCATTCGGCCGATCCATCGGTCGCGATGGGCTTCGTTTAAGTAACTCCTTACTTGGATGGCGTAATGTGCCGGACAACCATTATTTTGAAGCCACTTTGCCGGATGGCTAGTGGCTCATCTTTTTATAAATGTGGCAGCTCATTTTGCAGAAATTCTAAATAATTGGCCCCATTCAGGTTACCCGGCATTTCATATGGGCCTATGATTCTTCCGTTTAGAGTTCCTGTCCAATAATTTATTTTAAACTGGTATTGCGACCTATCTTCTCCCATCAAATATGGGTTAGCTCGCTGCCAACTGTGCAGATTATGCAAGTTAAGGTACCCGTCTCTTTTACACGTTGACTTGTCGCGCCACAAATTTTTTCTAAAAAACCCAGGGTCTTCATCCATTCGCGTCAGCATTTCTCTACAAAATGTAACTCATGCTGGGTAGTCACGTTGTTGAAGCGTTCGCACACGTGTAACGTAATAAGGGTGAAGTCTCCATTGTTTGAGAATCCGATGTGCTGTAGAGTGCGATACTCCAGTGCATCGTTCGATATCTCGCATCGAAATAGACTGATCTTTTTCAACCATATCATGGACAATTTCTTCAATGTCAATGTCAGGTATCGTCCTCTGCTACTGGCACCACCAATACCAGCACCAGGCATCCTCCCCTCTGAATAAATGCAGTTCGTTCTTTATTAGATCTCTTTCACGCTACATTCACCATAGATAAAATGCATAATAGCATACTCTTGGGGTGTGTATATTTCTCGTGACATGACACAGTCCTTTTGTAATGCACAAATCATGAGTCCAGTAGAATGCCGAGTTGTCACAAACATCACCAAACAAACAAAATCCAATCAAAATGCACAAGTCAAGAGTCCAGTAGAATGCGAAATAGTATTTTGTAGCCAAGAGTCCGAAATAAGAGAGCACATGCGATGTCGAGAAGGTCTAGATACGCACTAACCATATTTGACAATAACCAAACACAAATTCATACAATGGAGAATCTGTCGATCCTTTTTACTCACACTAATCCTAAGCACCCGAATCCGAACCGTTCCGGGTAGAATTTTTTTTTAGCTTTGCGGGATAGATATGGTATTATTATCAAAATAGAATTTTTTTTTATCTTTTTTGTAATACCACCCCCTATAAGGCTGATTTGAAAATAAGCCCTTCAGTTATGATCTTCCTGTTTGGGTCCCATTATTAGTCGTTATAGCGATCAAACCGCGAACTCATTTATTATGCTCATTATCAAGGAAGCCCACGTATTGTGATGTGCAACTACGGAACCCTACCTCTACATTGTGCGTGACCCGACATGCACTTGGTCAGTTCCTTTGCTTTTGAATTGTGTTATCAGGAAGATGCTGCTACCCCCAGAGTATAGTAAGCTGCTACCCAGCTCCTGTTTCAGTTTCCCTCTGACGCCTCTAACAACACCCACGGGATCACAGGGAATAGTAGATTATCTTATGATGCCCTTACACAAAGGCAATTGAATAAAAATTTGAAAATGAAAATTATAATAATCTTTCAATGATGTCTTGAAAAACTCTATTTCAACCAAATGTCCGGACGTTTTGTCCGAAATCGGCATCAAATGTGATGGCAGATGGAAGCTAGCTAGAGTCGTTAACATAAGCTTTGAACGTCTTGAACGTTTCGAACGTTTTGAAATCAGATTTTTATAAATATTTAAAGCAATCTCAGGCTTTAAATATTTCAAGCTACATGGACAGCAAGAAATTTGAAGATTTGAGGTTTTTAACGATCTATTGCTGTCGCATTATGCCCAAATGACTGAGCTAGACTGAGCTGAAACAGAACACCTACAGCTCCGACTGATAATAGCTATGAAAAGTTGACGAAATCATCTCGTAAACCCCTGTTTCCACTCCAAAACTAAACAGATTTATAAAAAAATTCAAGAAAAATATAAGGTAGATTGTGGCTATGTCCATTTCTTTACTATTTTTAATATTAGTTGAAATTCTTCTTTGGATGATTTTAAGTTTTTGTAAGAAGGTTTTAAAAAGGTTAGAAGTGTAGAGGTTTATAAAATAATAATTTTATGGGCAAAAACAAAGAAGGAAAGATTGATAATGATAGATATAGATTGTATCATAAAAAATATTTGCTCCGCAGAAAACAGAGGAACACGTTTGCGTCGACTAATCGCCGCCCGAATATCCTCTTAGGCAAAAATTTAATCCACCTATCCAAATATTGTTTGAAATAAATTTAAAGGTAAGGCTAAGAAATTATGGCGCAATACAGACCCGCGCCCGCAGCGGTAGGGGAAATGTTATTTTATTTTAAAACCCGCCGCATTGGCGAGAAACGCCCTCTAACTTAGCGGGAGATGATCGCAAGTCGGGCGGGCGCATGCAGGTCTTTTGCAATTGAGTCACACGCCCGCTATTTACTTCCGCAGAGCATTCCCGCAAACGCAGCCTGCGCGAAGCTGCTGTTTGCCCGCCGGTGCAGCGACATCAACCAACAACCGCACAGCATAAATCGCACCGTGAAGCTATAATCTATATATTTACTATAGTCTTTAGTCTTATACTCAAATTTCTTACATACTATACTATGCGCATCGATGACTCACTACCGCTGCAGTGAATATCGCTCCATGAGTTCTTTATCTTGCACTGTACACATATGCATCTAATCAAAAATGAATGAAATGAACAATATAGAAAATTTTAGTCGATAGTAGAACATACCTTGCGCTTTCGCTTAAGGTACGCAAAACAGGAAAACATCTATGTGAACTGTAAGAACACTCCGATTCGGAGACAAATCGCATGAACACTGATTTGCTAAACTAACTCAACTGTGTTTTCAATTGAGCTGATTTTTGAGTCGGTTCTCAGCTCCGTCTCAGGTCCTTCAACCACGACCTGAGTTACAGCTCACATATATACCTATATATTGAGTTAGCCATGTCTACTGAGTAGAAAAGTGCAGGATGCAGTCGGCGGAAGTGGAAAGGGTGACATCAGTAATTCATCTGCGCGCGGTTTACACATAACAGCCAGAAATATTATCTACCTTTTGGGCTGCAACACACTTAAATAAATCTTAGTATATTGGATCATCTTTACATTTACCTTGGGAACTTTAGGAACAGGCTGATGACTACAGGAAGCTCCTTCATTGTCACTATCATCAGAGCCTTCAGTGTACGATGAGCTAAGTTGGCGCCATCGAGACAGCACTAATTTTCGTACTGTAGCATATACCGTGAATGGTGATGGGTTTCGCAACAATACTGGTGAAATGCAAGAACTCACAGTACCCACAGCTTTTATTCTCCTCAGTTTTTCCTTTTTACCAGGCCTCTTTTGGGATTTTTTATCTACTTTCCTGAAATAAATCATGGCATCAATAAAATATAATTGTTTATTCATCCACCATTCATTTTAGCCTGTCAAAAATTCAGCACTGAACATAGGCCTCCCCAAAGCCTATGCAGCACGGGGAATGTAGTAGTCACCAATCTTGGCATTAAGGTTGCCAACTGCAGTTTTTTTTTCAGTTGTTATCATTAAGATGCTGCAGCTCATCTGCTGTTTCATTTTCCTTTATTGAAACTTGATTAATTACATTTCATGTTAATTTAATAATGCTTAATATTATAATAATAGGAATTAGTGATGTTTATCATTCATTTATTCATTACTGCCTTTCAAATGTGCACTGCACTGCTAAACATAAGCCTCAATCCATAGATTGCCTGAAAAGGCAAAAGGCTAAGCTAAAACACACATCATATTATCAACGGTGGTGTCTATCTCAGTATAGACAGTAGTAGTGGTGTTGATGTGTTAGCAGTGATGGTGACAGTTAGTGCTATTGAGAGAGGGGACAATGAGCGTGCGTTAATTATATTATGAAATGTAATTAATGTCAATGCAATAATTCCTATTGCTTACTGTAGGCATTATAAATGTTGTAGGACAATGTTTTATCTGAATGCTTCATATATTCACAGATTTAACGGCCTCAGCATATATCTGCACATTTTTTATTCATAAAGTTAAAATATAAGCGTTACATTATGCAGAATGAAGAATATTGAATTTTATTAATTCTTCAATTAATAAAATTCAATATTCCAATGTCAATGAGAATGTGACTATCTGGATGATTAATGGTAATAATCCTGTTTTATGCAGGGAAAATAGTATTTAGCTGTGGTAAGATTTTGTTTTCACAGCATCAGGACATCATGATATTTAATGATGTATTAAATAGATATGTAAGTTACATTTTTATTAAATTGTAATGAGTAATTATAGTTAATGCCAAAGTTCATAGCAGTCCCAACCATAAAATGTAAGAATAATATTGATGATATTGTATGTTTGTTCCCACTTACGAGTCTTATACAAAGTTAGAGTTCTGTTCTTATCAATACCTGTAATTAACACTCAGTTATCATAATGAAAAAGAAAACAATAATTTATTTCTAATCAAATAATTTTTTATTATTAATTAATAAAATACAATTGTAAATTAAAATAAAACAGCACACAACTAAATATTAACAATTATTACTTAAACTATACAGCAATAAAATAAAATTTTAACATATAATAAAACCATAAATAATGAAATAATAACAATTTTACCTCATCATTAAATTTTCTTCTATTCATTGTCATATTGTTATTTTCTACCATATTTACTATGGGGCAAAACTATCAGACAAAATATACCTTTTTTCAAGTCACACGGTGATTTTAATACATACAATTAAATTTTAGTTAATTATCCATTAAATGAGTTTTTACAAACATAAGAAGAAACAAATTAAAAATGTTTTAACAAATTAATAAGGCTAAGCTTGTTCAAAAAGCTTAATTACTTTAAGACTGCAACTGCCTTGGGCAATGGTGTTCACTATAGTAACTGTTTGAATTTAATCAGTAAGAATAGTAAATAAGGAAACACTTCCAAATGGTAAAATCTTGAGAATATATCAATTCAGAAGAATGAATTTATAAAGAAATTATTAAGCAATATAGTAGTTTTATAATATTATAGATGTGATGAACATAATATCAATTACTGATTGGTAAAAGCAATCCAATCTTATCTCTCTAGTGTAATATCTTGTGGTTTCAAACAGATAACATCACCTTGTATCTACCAGATATTAAATCCCTAAGCTGACTGTTGCATGGTAGTCAACAATGAAGGTGTAAAGAGTCTAAAACTGTAATGACGAATATAGAGCCAAGCATAGTATTAAGGCCAATTTTCTCTTCTATGAGATAGGCCTAAAACTAACAAAGGAGAAGACCAGCTATAAATAAATATTCAATATGTATGCATTGAGATATAATTTACTACGTACTAGAGAAGACGCCTCAACTCGATTGTTTGTAACACGAGTTAGAGTGCGCACTCTCAAACTCACTTAGTCTGTGTCAAGCGGTTGTTGCAACGTGAGAAGTTAGAGTGAAGAATTATTTTTAAATTAATATGCCTTCGTGTGCATTGAGATACTGTTCAAACTACTCGAGAAATATAAGGAAAAGTCAAGGAGTGAATTTTCACCAGTAATTTAAACTTATTATCTTTAAAACATGCTTAATTTAATTACATTTTATCAACTGTTCCATATAAGTGAATGTCAAAGAGTAAAACATTTTTATGCGCAGACTTGACACTATCGACGTATAATGTTAAGTAATTCTGAACAGTAAAATATTTATATATAATCACTGTAGGAAATGTTAATGCATTAAAATTAATATCTCTATTATTATTTTTATTTAATGTTTTCCTCGGCTGTGTCATGAAACAAAATAATCATGGATCAAATTTGTTCAGAAGAATTGCAGCGAAGAAACGTCATATTATTCACGCACATTTTCCGTGCAGTTAAAAAAAATGACAAATACACCGCAAAAACAGGAAGAGTGTACTTTAAGAAATAAGCAGTACCATGCGACAATGTAATTATATAATTATATAACAGTGCTGGGATATTTGCTTTATTTTTGGATTAGACGACGAATGAATGTTTTGTTATGTTCAGTATATTTACAGGACTTAAGAGAGACGGAAACTTCGGCGCGCGAGTCATTCTAGTATATGACGGTTTTTTAATACTGTAACACTAGAATTTTTGCAGGCTTCCCAAATAACTAGTATCTTTTTTTCAGCCAACAAAATGTGGTGAACCGGAAGTATCAGAACCGTTGTCTGAATCAATAAGCAGTACAAATTCAATATTAGATATTCCGAGCAAAATTATACTTAAAAATAAATAACGCAAGTGATGTCTCCTAAGCTAAGTTTGAGTGATGTATACGAAGCCTAAGCATTTAAATATAGTTCTACTTTAATAACGGAATCAATAATTCTAGGTTATTATAAAAAGAATAAAATATAAGCACGTTGTAATATTGTGTTTGTATTTAATAGCACGGAATCTGCAGCTAGAAAGAAACTTACTGAGAAATTTAAGACAAAATATTTATCTAAAGAAAAAGTATGCTACTTACAAATCAATTGTAGAAAATTTGAAACATAAATTCGGTCTCAACTTAAATGCTGACATTGATTTAATAGGTAAAGCAGAAGTTATGGAGTAACATAAATCTTTAACGAAAAAGAATAAACAGAGCACGCATTATTAATTATACACTGCATGCACCTTTACGTAAATTCGCATTGATTTTACACTATTATTCACCAGCGGCGTATAGATACGTTAGAGAATGCGAGAAATGTTTTAAAGTATTAAATAAAATATAATTAAAATGTAATTCTGACATAATATTATGTTACATTATATTGACACATTATGCGATATAAATAAAAATTTAAAAAATTGTACTCGATACAATTTACAATACAATCTAAATATACATTTACTTATTACATACTGATCATTCTACCTACGTATATAATCTATGATGACAAAAACCGCACATGTGCGACTGTAATATTTACCGCGCATGCGCGAAGACATAAAGTAGTGCACAGTTTTTGTTCGGAATAGCTTCTCTAGTACGTAGTTCATTATATCTCAATGTATGTATGTTATTAAAAAAAAATGTAAAATTTTAAATTTATATTAATCATTTATAATTATTATAGTTTTATAGCTTAATTCAAAAAGCAGTTAATAAAAATAAAATACCTCTTAGCCATCCAGCATAAAGCACGGAAATATTTTCGATAATTCTCTGGCTCCATGCATGATAGCTCTGGCTTTTGCAGTTTTGAATTCATGTTGATATTTTGTTTTTAATCCTGTAAAATTACCATTGTTGCACAAAAATGTTTTAAAGTCATTTAAGAAAATAAAGTTTTAATTAAAAATGTTTTTTTTGTTCGCAAAAACGTATTTCGCTTCAGCATAAATACAAAATGTCAAGAAAATCAACGCTTTTACAGAAATTTCATTGAAGGTTCATTGTCCGATAACAGTAATATACATAGATATATTTTTTGCTAGTTCAAAGTATTTTTACACATTGCTAATAAAATATTTACAATCGCAAAAGCATAAGCAAGCACGCAAACGCACAATATGGAAAATAAATATATTTATATGTTAAGTATCATGTAGCTAAAAATAATATTTTAATTTTATACTTTACACCCTTGTTACACCATACGCAGTATTTAACAAAATTGTTTTATAACTTTGAAAATTACCTGCAATATCAATATATTATCTGCATTTTGCTGAGATTTTACGTGACAAATAGGTATATAGCAAATTCAAAATTGCAATTTTTCACAGTTTCGGAGTAACGTCAAAAATCAATAAGCAGGACGAAAGACGAAGTTAGTGTGGATCCGTAAGTCCGTAACCGATGAAAAGTTTTCGGTAAATTTTAAAAAGCCCAAAGAATCCAGTTGAAAATTTTATGAGTTAACCTAAGTTGTTCAAGTAATTAATGTTTGTAATATGTTTTGTTTGATTAAAACGGATCGATTAAATATTCGAAACAGGTCCGGGCGTGGTTCAATGTTATACATGGAACTAAAGTATCGGTTTCATACACTATGCATCTAAGTATAGTTTACTTAGATGCATAGTGTATGAAACCGATGCTTTTGTTCCAGGCTGCAGCACGTTCGTATTACGAACATACTGCAGCAAGGAACAAAAGGAAGGACTGTACCATTTTATTCATTGTAAGTTTCTATTATATGTTGTTGTTTTATATTGTATGTATGTTCGATATGAATTTCAAGTAGATTTATTTATTTACTAATACAACATATAATAATTAAACAAAGACATGATTACTTGATATCTGTGTTCTTAAATTAACATGATTAATTGATATCTTAGTTCTTAAATTAAGTTATGAATTAAAAAGAAGATATATATTTATAAATTATTATAATACTTTGATAATTATTATGAAATATTTAAATATAGTTTCCAAGTTAGTACAATAATTTTTACATACATACATACATATAACCACGCCTCTTTCCCGTAGGTGTAGGCAGAGACCACTTCTTTCCACTTGCTACGATCCTTACATACTTGTTTCGCTTCGTCCACTTTCATTATTCCCTTCATACATGCTCTACGGTTTAGGGTACTCCTGACCTAGCCTTTTTTCAAGACGTCCCTGATTTGGTCTAGAAATGTCCGCCTAGGTCTACCCCTTCCAACACTATCATTCACACTAGCCTTATACACTTTTTTCGTCAATCGTTCTTCATTAATTCTCTCGACATGGCCAAACCATCTCAGCATACCTTTCTAAATTTTTGTCACTACGTCTTCCTTCAGACCACAACGTTTCCTTATCTCACTATTTCTTTTCCTGTCACTCAGTTTAACTCCTATCATACTTCTTAATGCACTCATCTCAACTGCATTTATTCTGCTTTCATGTTTCTTCTGCCATACCCAACTTTCACTTCCGTACATGAGTGTTGGAACCAACATGCACAGCCAAACGAGCCTTGTTAGACACCTTCCGACTGCTCATAAGGGAGTGCAAAGCTCCATTCACCATGTTTCCTGCATTCACTATTCTTTCGATATCACTCTCACACTTTCCATCTTTTGTAAATTTTGAACCCAGATACACAAACTCTTTCACCTGTTCAATTTGTTAATCTTCAATCACGATATTGCAGTCTGTCACTGCCTCATCTTTTTGAAACACCATCACTTTCGTCTTCCTTACATTCATCTTCATTCCCTTTCTAATAAAAGCTCCACTCATAGCAGTTACCATCTCCTGCAACTCCTCGGCCGAACACGCATGTAATACTTGGTCATCAGCATAGAGAAAACATTAGACGAGTAACTCATTCATTCTCAACCCACTTTTATTCTCTTTTAAATCTGCCAAACAATTGTCCATGAACAGATTAAACAGCCACGGTGACGCTACACATCCCCGTCTAACACCTTTTTTGATATTAAACCATTAAGTGTATGCTCCGTTTATCCTTACACAAGCACTAGAATCCCTATAAAGAGATTGCAATGCTCGTATGAGGATACTGCTCACACGGACAGTGCTGACCACAATTCATTCCTCACCAGTCTATCATAGGCCTTTTCTAGATCTACGAACGCGCAGTAGACTTTCTTGTTTATAGCCAAACACTTTTCGGCTATGCACCGCAAGGAAAAGACCTGATCCGTACATCCCATTCCCTTTTTAAATCCCGCTTGTGCATCCCATACTTTCTCGTCTGTTTCATTCACAACCCTTTCAATCAACACTTTCGCATACAGTTTACCGACGTCGCTGAGAAGGCTTATACCGCGGTAATTTATGCAGTCCTGCCGTGACCCTTTTCCCGTATACAATGGCACGATTACGGCTTTGCACCAGTCTCCCGGTACTTGCCCATTTCGCCAGCACAGATTGAAAAGGCGGTACATCTGACTAGCCACCAGGCCCTGTCCAGCCCTAAGCATCTCGACGGTAATCCTGTCATACCTTGCAGCCTTACCTAATCTCATACTTTTCAACGCTTTCACAATTTCATCCATGTTTATCTCATTTTCATCAACATTTATATTAGTTTCTGTGGAAAGTGGCAGATGCTGTACCTGTACTTCCTCTCTTTCAAACAAACTTTCAAAATACTCTTTCCATATCTTTAACACACATTCTTCTCCTTTTATAATGCTCCCATCTTAACTCCTGATTGTACTCAGCTCCGAGGTAGAAGTTCTTCCTCTGGCTGTTTTGATGGTTTTCCAGAAAAACTTAATCATCATCATCATTACAGCCCTTCACAAGTCCACTGCTAAACATAGGCCTCCCCCAAAGAATGCCACAAAGCACGGTCCTGAGCCACCTGCATCCAACGACTTCCTGCATATCTTACCAGGTCGTCACTCTATCTAGTGGGGAGACGCCCTACACTTCGCCTGCCGGTACGAGGCTGCCACTCGAGAACCTTTCTTCCCCATCGGTTGTCGGTTCTTCGAGCTATATTGCCGGCCCATTGCCACTTCAGCTTACTAATCCGTTGGGCTATGTCAGTCACTCTGGTTCTACTGCGGATATCCTCATTTCTGAGTTTATCACGCAGAGAAACTCCGAGCATAGCCCTCTCCATAGCTCGCTGAGCAACCTTGAGCTTCCTCATCCGGCCAGCAGTGAAGGACCACGTCTCAGTTCCGTATGTCATCACTGGCAACACGCACTGGGTGTACAGTCTCGTATTCAAGTTTTGAGGTATACCTGACGAGAAGATGTGTCGTCATTTCCCAAACGCTGCCCAACCGAGTTGAATCCGTCGATTGACCTCTCGGTCGAAGTTGGACTTACCTAGTCGGACTATTTGTCCTAGGTAAACATACTCGTCAACAACTTCGAGCTTAGTGTTCCCAACAACTACCGGCATAGGTGTGACATGGACATTAAACATGATCTTTGTTTTGTCCATGTTCATCTTAAGACCTATCCGTTGGGAAACACTATTGAGGTCATTGAGCATAGGGCTTAGGTCCTCCAGCTATTCTGCCATAAGGACAATATCGTCGGCAAATCGAAGGTGAGTGATGTTTTTTTTTTATAGGAGAGGGGGCAAACGACCATGCGGCTCGCCTGATGGTAAGTGACTACCGCCGCCCATGAACAACTGCAACACCAGGGGAAACGCAGATGCGTTGCCGGCCTTTTAAAAAGGAGTACGCTCTTTTCTTGAAGGTCCCTAAGTCGTATCGGTCCGGAAAAATCGCTGATGGTAATCGATTCCACAAGGAGGTCGTGCGAGGAAGAAAACATCTTCTAAATCGCACAGTGGTGGACCGCCAATCATCCAGATGGTGTGGATGGTATCGGGAGTTCTGCCGCGATGTGCGTTCGTGAAATTTGGCGGCTAGGATTAATCTGAACAATTCCTCAGAGCACTCCCCATGGTAGATGCGAAAGAAAATGCAAAGGGATGCAACATCTCTTCGCAGTGCCAATGAATCGAGCCGATTGGAAAGGGCTCGGTCGTCGACAATTCGAACCGCTCTGCGTTGGATGCGGTCAAGTGGAAGGAGCTGGCACTGGGGAGCCCCTGCCCAGAGATGGGAACAGTATTCCATGTGAGGCCGAACTTGCGCCTTGTAAAGTAGCAGGCGGTGTGCCGGAATGAAATACTGTCCCGCTCTGCTGAGCACGCCAAGCTTTTTAGAGGCCAATTTGGCCTTCCCTTCCAAGTGACCACGAAACTGCACGTCACTCGATATGTCGACTCCGAGGATACCGATACTGGCTGAGGCAAGAAGGGGAGTGCCTTGAAACTGAGGAGATACGACAAAGGGGTTCTTTTTAGCGGTAAACGCGCAAACTTGTGTCTTCTGAGGATTAAATTGGACTAGATTTAGTCGCCCCCAATCCGAGACTTTGTTCAGCAAAGACTCGACTTCAGACACAAGTTTGTTCCGGTACTCAGCGACGTTTTCCCGAGAAATATTGGCACGGCCGGTGTATAGAGCATCACCAGTGCTGTCATCCGCATAGCAATGAATGTTACCAGTTAGCAACATATCATTGATATGCAGAAGAAACAGCGTTGGTGATAGCACACAGCCTTGTGGAACACCAACGTTAATAGGCTTGTAGTCAGAGCATGCACTGTCTACAACGACCTTGATGCTCCGATCTGCAAGGAAGCTGGTGATCCAATTGCACAATTTCTCGGGAAGCCCATAGGAAGGGAGCTTCGAAAGAAGCGCTTTGTGCCAAACCCGATCGAAGGCCTTCGCAATGTCCAGACTAACGGCCAACGCCTCCCCA